AAAACATTAAACTTTTACAGAATTGTGCAGAGCTGAACAACCCAACTCAGTCCCAAAATATGAAATCCTCATTAAGATTTCAAGTTGAGTTCAAATGGGCTTAAAAATAGTCCCTATATGGAAAACTTGAAGGATTTTATTGGCCTTATGTAAATTTCCCATGCACCCTAAATGTGCGACGGACAAGATGTCCATTTTTGTACGTTTGAAATATCAAAACTGGCTGTCACATGACCGATCATATTTACAATCAGTAGCTGCTACCAAAGAACAACCACAACCTTTCCATACTTCCATAACTATTTCCCTATATATATGGCCTAGTCCACCACTTTTGTTTCCAACTCGTAAACTCTACAATGTTCAAATAGAAAACTCGGGGTTGTAACACTTTGTCATCTCTGTATCACCAGCTGATAACAACACACAACTTGCTCTGAATAAGGAATATGCCAGATGCTTGATTTGTATTTGCTGCTTTTAAAATCCAGCAATTGCTCAACCTTCCAATATTTTTCTCTACACAGCCCTAGACTTGTGGTTTTTGTCACACTATTTTCCGATGCATTATGATGGCCTTTCATCCAAATCAGACAGGCTACAATTGTGCATGATGTAACATTTTCAATGGGGGTAAAGAATAAATGGGGCTTTTTTTTTTCCAGAGCCAGAGGCAGCAAGCTTAGTTCCTTCTATAGCTCATTTGGGTTGCGTCTGAATGAATGTGCAACACAACAAAGGGGTTTAAAAATGGAGACTAAAAGAGAAGGATAAGCAAGAACATGGAGATGACGATTCCTTTTCTCGAGCTTCTCGCCTTTCAGTGTCTTGTAATCAAAGAATTCTGTTTAATCTTCCCCATCTTTCTTTATGCATTCTTCATCGTTCCTTTTATTCTGACTCTGCTCTTCCTCTCGTCTTACACTCTAAATCCTCTTAATCACGTCTTAATTTTTTCATATCTCTGTCTCTGCACCTGCCTCTCCTCCTCCCCCCCTCTTCCATTCCCTCTTCACTCTATTCCACTTCATCTCCTGCTCCTTCTTCTCTGTGTTCTCCCCCATCCTGGAAGGCCGTGAGTGTGCATGCCAAGCCTGTGATGAGGTGAATTATCTATCAGTCGCCACGAAAAGGACTGGATTGACAACCCACCACACTCATCTGCCGTCCCATTGGAAACAGGAGGGTCTCTGTGTACATTATGAACTTGATTGTGTTTGTGAAATGTTCGAGCCATGCTCTAAATTGCACGCCGTATAAGTGTGTGTGTGTGTCAGACACGGTGCTCTGTCTATAAAGCTGGAAAGCCTCTGCTCGTTTCTCAGGGGGTTACTCACCGTGGAGTCGGCTATTAGTCTTTTATCATTCGGCTTTTTGTTGTCATTAGACATCGCTCTTTGCCTCTCTTCTGTGATGGCCTCATCCCTCATTCTGTCCCTTACTCAATACCGGGTTCTTTTTCTGTTTTTTTTTTCCCTCTCACCCCATCTCTACACTATTGCTCCCCAGCAGTGCCGAGGTGTTTTATCAGTTGTTTGTGAACGCGTAGAAGCTTAACAGGCTCGCCTCTCCCGTGTTACCTCTTGTCTACCACCCCCAACCCAAGGGGACACGTTGGAGTGCAGCTCTCCCCTCTTTGCAACTCTTCTGTTGCATGATTTACAAGCAGTGGCTGTTTGAAGGGTGTGTGTGTGTGTATGTGCATAGACACCCTCACAGAGAATCCCCAGAGCACTTAATCTCTCTTTCCTCCTGACATTTTTCATTCTTCCACCCCAAAACAGCAGAGAGCCTATTCACACACCGCAGCACAAACACTCGCCGCGTTTAATATCAAATGTTTTCAGCCACACGTACACCAGGGAGGCGTCACATGGCTTTGTCTGAATGCTGCATTGGGTTCACCTCCATTATGCCGCGATTGAACCGTTAATGTTGCAGGAGGCAAGAAAAATGGACGAAGATGGAGCCCTACAGCTTCGACATTTACTTCCCATTTTCTGCACACTCTCACATGCACCCGGCTTAATAGCCGAGCTCCTTCACCCGCCCATGAGCGCAGGCAAAACACAGACACATGCCACCACACCGAGAAATATATTTGTTTTCAAGCCCATTAAAATGCATCCGACAGGAGAGAGCCCAGCGTTTTTCTGCAGCCTCTCCAAAGACACAGCTAATTATTGCACAGGAAGCTCTCTGTCGTTTATCAGGGCGTCACACCTGCAGTAAACATGCTCGGCTCTCTATCTGCTGGATTTTATTTTCTCATTATAGAAACCTTACCTCAGGGAGTAAAAGCAGAGAGTCCTTGATTTGTGTGGAAATCACAGCTGGGGAGAGTCGATGTTATATAGCCAGAATGTTTTACAGTCGTGATGTTATTCACATATCGCCTCATTCTGCCTTTCAATCACTGATTTAGAAAATGGGTTTGTTTTCTTTTAAAAAAATTTTACAAATCAGGCTCTAAATAAAACACAGTTTTGTGTTTTGTTTGTCAGGACACAAAAGTCTATACAAAATAACACATAAATACACAATATCTCTTATCCGTTGTGTCAATTTTGGAGGATCTTTGGAGGACATCAACATATGGATGTAACAGTTGGATGTGTTGTCCTTTATGTGTTATTCAGGCTCTGAGAAACAAAAAAAAACCTGTTGGACAACATTCGTAAAGTAACCTATTTTGCAGGAGGTGTTCTGGCGTTTTGTGCCAAACAATCAATGCAACTAGCAAAAAAAATAAATAGTTGTACTTTGCAACTAGTGAAGGAAACATTCTTCTACAGCTCAACTGTAAGCAAATGTTGTTTTCAGCTGACCATCTGTTCCTTGCAGAATGAGTAAAAGCAAAGGAAAACCTAAACCTTAAATTTGGCTTTCTGCTTTCAGATGTCGTTCCTTCCGTCCCGACTTCATAACAAATTAATTTTGCCATTTCACCATTTCAGATATTTCGCACTCATCTAGTCTCAAATATGACAATTTGGTTACATTTCGGTATAAACAGTGAAGTGCAAATTACTGTCATTAACGATTTCAGTCGGGACGCCGAGCTCTCACCTTTCAGTCTCAGGTATACACGGGAATGTTTTGATTGCGCTTCGAGCGTTGTTCTCTCCGTGGCAAGTGCTCTCATCGCTCTTCCTGGTCAGCGTACTGTCTGACACGGCCTAATGAGCCGCTGAAGAGGGCCGCGCCGCCCACTCTGAAAGCCGATGAAAGCCGCTCAGTTTTGCAGCTTCTGAGAATATACTGCTCTGTGCGTCTGTTTAGAATTGTTCACAACCTTTTGCACCAGATCAAACCGCCCTAGCCTTGCTGGACTTTTGATCTTACTCTCGATTACGTGAGTGACCTACTGTAACCTGCCTCTGAGCATCAGTCGTTGTTAAACAGTCAGTAAAACTTTCTTAGGGTCATTGGTTCTAGCATTAGCCTCAGCATTTCTAAGTCATTCCAGTCCACATGGGTAGATTCACAGCCATGGAAGACTTTTTTTCTTCCTCTTTTTTTAACACAGTTGCAGAGTGGGGACCTTTTGGGTAGGAGACCACAGGAGAACATAAAAGACAAAGGGTCAAAGAGCAAAGGAAAAAGAGGCAGACAGGAGAGGGAGTAGCATCATCTGACGAAAGAGTTTGGTTGCCTGGCAACGCAGCATCAATCAGTGAGATTGCGTTGAGGGTATAAGAGGAAATGTGGACAAGAGGAGGGGGTTTACAAAGCAGCAAAGCTGACTGACAAGATACGTAGTTTATATTTATTCTTTTATTCTTGTACTCAATGTGCAATATAAGTAAATTATAAACAGAACATTTGTATTGGCATAATTAGATCATCCACATGCATATGCCTTAAAAAAAAAACAACAACAAAGAATAATATAAGTAGTGGACAAGTATGATAGGATCTAGTTCTCCCAGAAGTGGCTGGTTGGGGGTAATCAACGGGGGTACTTTTTAAAAAGAGGAGGGAGAAATATTAAGCTGCCTTACAGCAATATTGAACTGCTTTACAGAAAACAAATCTGCTATGTTCATTTTTCTTTTCATTCATTTTCAATATATAGAAATATTTCTGGGTAATGTCCCAGTCTGTTGGTAGACATGCTCAATTTCAGGGTATTTCCACCTGAGAACGTGTCCTGTCTCTCCAAGCAGACAGATGGCATCATCAAAATCACTGTGAACAGCATGGCAGTCTGCCCTCAGTGATGTTTACTCTTTAACATTTTCCATCATCCTTTTTTCAAAATGATCCTATGAACGAAGTGCTGCTCAGTCCTGAAACGCATAAACAAATATTTTTATCCAGTGACTACTTTGGGCGCAAATTTAAGGATTTGCTATTTCTCATTTGTCTGAGTAAAAGTTAATGGCAACCTTTTTTTCTGTTGTTGTTGTTGGTCTGCAGCAGATCCACTGAACAACCACTTCGAGTGCAAGAAAGGCTTGGATTAATGTTAGGACTGACTCACAGAGTAACAAGGTTACAAATGGGGCAAGCAATCGCCTAAATCTCACATAACGCTCAGAAAGAAAGTTAATAAGCTTTCAGCTCTCACTAGCACCCTAACAAGCATACATAGTGTTCTCGTCCTGTGCACTGGCTGGTTTCGCTCGGTCTTCGCACCACCATTAGCTGAACCATTTCCCTCTCATAAAACTCCCTCTCCGGAGCCGTAGTGGAGGGTGGTGAGTCAGCAAGAGACGGAGATAATTGGGGTGATAAGTTGAGGGTTTCAAACTCATTATGAGACGTGAGTAATTATTGATGACTAAAGAAGCTCCCGATGTGTCGGTGATCTGTTCGTGGGAGGGGCGGCGGCTCTCCTGTCTGCAGCCGTTGTCACATGGCTGTGATGTGTCTGCCTGGGTTCCTCTTTTGCCCGTGACTGTTGCCAGCCCCGCCGTATTTATGACCGGCTTCTTATTGTCTGCCACAAGCTGCGGTTGATCAGATGTCTAATTTTAACCATGTCTCCCTCTCAGCTGATTTCCAGTGATGCAGATGGGGCCATTCAGAGGGCAGGGCGCTTCAGGGTGGAGAATGGTTCATCAGATGAGGTACATCCAATCTCATTCCTCTTTTTATGTTTTTTAGTCTGGGATTTCAACTAGATATGGAAGTAGGAGGGTGACCGACAGTTAAATATAAGTCAGCATACATTTTTATTAAATGTTACAGATGTACAGTCTCCTGAGATTACGTGAAAACATTTATTTTTTATTTGCTCTGTCTCCAAAAAGTAGAAGTGACAGCTAAAACTGCAGACATTTCAGTGGGATGAATATGAAATGTCAGTGCCTTTTTTCTCAAATAAAGCCTTTAGAAACGAATAAGCAAAGTATTCCAAAACATGATGTAAACAGTATTTTAAATCTATTCAACACCTGGATTAAAACTGCTCAAAGCAAGAAATAAGTATTCAAATATGACAAAAGGAAAAATAAATTGGATTTATATTGAACTTTTATACCTTCTCAAAGTGCCTTGATCTGATTTCTGTTGTGAAATAGCACAATGTAAAAAAAAGCCGAGTTTCCCTGTTTCATGAAGGTAACGTTTAGCCTTGACAAATGTGAGGATTCTGCTTGACCTGAAAAGTCCTTTCTAGCAACATGTAGAACACTCTTGGAACGCTCTGACAGTACGATGCACAGCCAAGAGACCTTTGCACTTTCTTGTCACTGCAGTTTTTAGGCACTCGTTCATTTTCCGAAAGCAAACTTTTTATTGGCCGCATCACGATGTCAGGATGGAACACTTCCAGTAACAAAAAGTCAGACAGTGTGCCGATACCGTGCTCTTTATTGTCACCCGTTCTTCTGCATCGTGTGACAGTTTTCCACTGAGGAGACTGCTGTGACTCAAGCTGTGACCAGCATGACGACATTGTGTCTCTGTGTGCGGCCAACAGACTTCCGACTACACTCCAGGAACCTGGAGGAGAACGGATGTCCATCTGGAGAATCCAGAGTACCACACCAGATGGTTCTTTAAATACTTCTTGGGTAAAGGTCAGTGCTTGTCAGCTGTGCTCTGTTTAAGAAAACACACAGAGATCATGTCAAACTGAAGGGCTGGCTCGGATCGACGCAGACTCCATGAGCTGATTTTCAGAAGCAGCCGAAGCAAATATCCTCCGGACATGGTCCACAGGATGATTCCTACCTCATAAAGTCCGCCTCATCTCTCTGCTGCATTGCTCTTCATTAAAGGTCAAAACCTGTTGTCGGTCAAGCTGTATTACCATTGAATGCCCCAGTCACATTCTGGTCACATACACCCCCCGGGGACAAGTTCCATGGATGACACACTGTGCAGTCTGACTGAACAGACAAAGCTTTTTTCTCCACAAGGAAGTGCAGCTCAGACCCGTCGTGTGCACATCCTGCTGAGGGCAGAAAGTGAGGAGAAAGGAAGGTTCTAAGAAAAACATCTAAATTAGTAACTTGTTGCTTGATCTTTCTGACCCTCATCATTTTAACATCCTCATTAACAACCTATCTTTTCTCAGACTCACGGCGTAGGCACCAGAAAAGATCACAGCCTGAGGTTTTTTTATATATTTTTTTATAGTGATATTAGTCTGGAAGAAAGCAATCAGCTTAAGGGTTGAGATAAAGTGCGGAACCTTCGATTTCTATTTCGAATAGAAATCCCTTTCTCCTCTACCCAGGGTCTAATGGTGCTATGGCATGGGCGGTTTAAACCGAGCCACGTCTCTCGAAAGTTGGCTCAACCTTTTTGGACGGCGGCTAAACCATCTGTGTCGCACAGCCTGAGCAGAACCGACTGCATGGCGTAACACACGATGCACTGGAGGCCACTTCCTGTGTGATAAAGCACCTCCAACAACACAATCATTTCAATCTCTCCATATTCAAATTCACAAATGCTATTCAGGCTTTAATTCATGCACTTATTCCAGATTGTAGCCTCTCCATGTCTGCTTTTGTCTAACAGAGAAAGGCTTAGGATTTCCGAGGCAAAAGGAAATAAGTCACAACTTACAAAGTTGTTGGTTGCTTGTTTGTGAAAATTTTAGTTTAAAAGGTTGGAGCGTCAGTTAATTACTTTTCTGTGCTAAAACTGGGATGGTATGAATTAAACAATGAAAGAGAAGGAAATAAACAAATTAATTGTTCAGGGATGAAAAATAGCATAATAAAATAATTCTCATATTATTTTGACTGTGTTGTCCACATGTTGAAATCTTGCGTGCATGTTTCAGATTGTCTGTTCATTGTCTGTGTTGCCAGTCCACCAGAACTATGTGGGCACAGATGCTGAGAAGAATCCTTTCTACCTGTCAGTTGTCCTCTCAGACCAGAACAACCAGCGGGTCCCTCAATACAGAGCCATTCTCTGGAGGAAGACGGTGAGCTCACCATCTGTGCATCCCACAAGTGGATTGAAGATGTATGCAGATAGCTAATATTAGCAAGAAATGTAGATAGTCACATAATGACTGAAAGATCACATTCTGTTTTAAGTCTTAATCCTAGAATTTAGACACAACACAAGAAAATTCCTTAAAGTTTTAGCATACTGGAGGAAAGACTTTTCCTCAGGAACTCGCAGTGGGAGAGGAGGTTTTCATTAGCATGTAAAAGAGAGGAAATGCCATCCTGGGGGATCAGACTACTCGTTTTTCGAGTCACCGTGCACGCAGGAGAGTATAAGACGCGTGCTCATTAATGTGTGTTTGTTGTTTACTGATTCAGTTACATTGCCAAGATAGCTCGGATCTAATTTGGGCCTCCAGCATCATCTGGAACCCGATTAGGGCGGTGCATCTTTGCTGCCTGATCACATTCATTTGTCGTTATACTGTCAGTCTGTGACTTGTACAGGATGTTTGTGATTTGGTTGTTGTACAACAGAGCTCCTTCGTATTTAGTCAGACACTCATTAAAGAGCAAGCTCTGCAGTCAGAATTTCCTTTGTTTAGCTTCGCACGATCAGCTGCGTGTATTGAAAATTAAATATCTGTATCAGAAAATTTTGTTTTAAAAAAGTATGAAGTTGAGTTTTTTAAAGCTTCTAATGGCCTTTTCTAACAATCTTTTTTCCTCAGGGTACTTTGAAGATCAGCCTCCCCTACAGCCCGACCAAAACACTATCAGTCAAGTCCATTCTCAGGTGAGAAGTGCATACTGGAGCTTTAAGTAGACGGTTCTTTATCTTTTACAAAGCAAGAATGAGAGTAAATGATGTTGTTAACTGCTGATGCTGCGGAGACATACAGTGTTTCCAGATGTGACTCAACCCATAACAAGGGCCCAGTGCCTTTATGTCCATCAGGGGAAGGCTTGTTTATGTCTTACAGGCACATGGATGGATGCTATAACACTAAAGTCTTTACTGCCATACACTGTTGTTTGCTGCTAAGAATGTTTGATTGAGTTGTTTCAACAAAGGGCTAGTTCAAATGGTTTACAGTATATTGCAAAATATGTATGCATCAGCAGATAACGACCTATTTCTGTATACTTTGTCATATTAGAACATATTTAAGTTTTGTACTTTCCTTTTATTTGAAACAAAACTCATAGGAACTTGGTCTAACTGGCTACAGTTTTGTACTTTTAGAGTTCTCGAAGTTAAAATGTCGCATTTATTGTCCAGTCATAAGTTATTTAGCCATTTCTACCTTTGACATTATATTCCCAGAGCCAGATGTCATGAGAGACTTGTAAAAGGATTAAAGAAGATGCATGACACAAGAAATTGGAGATTATAAATTCCTCAGGCAGAGTAGCATCACTGCTCAAGTTCTGAATGTGTACAAATGATATGAGCTGGATGAGAAATCCCCCGTATCAGGCCTCATTTTTCTGTGTTAGGCTTCGGGCCATTTGTCTTCCATCAGTCCTAAACATCCCTTTCTCTCTTACTTTCTCTCTGCTGCTTCCATTACCCCTTTTCCGGCTCCTCTTACAGTGCAATGAACATGGACAGGTTTGAGAAAGGCCCCCGGGAGATCCTCAACGCTGAGATTCAGAAGGTGGGAGAGACACCAGAGTAGCAGCCCTCTCTTATTAAAATATTGCAGCGGCTCATTTTATGTCGAGCCTGATCAGCAGCACTTTTTCTACTGTCCTCAGGCTGTGTCATCTCTAACTGGAGTGCTGGCCTGTGTGAATGATGATGTGTGTTTTTGTCCCCTTTTCCCAGGATCTGCTGGTGTTGGAGGAACAGGAGGTGCGGAAGGATGAAGTGTCATTTTAACTGTTTGTTTGTCATTTTCAGCAGTCAATTATTTCATTTCAGTGTTATAGTTTTCTTTAACATTCCCAAAGATGTTAAAGAAAAAATATGTTTCTTTTTGTTGTTTGTGTTATTATTATTTTACCGTCCATTCATCTTGGTACTCTTCTTCTGCTGTTTAAATGCACTTTTTGTCATTTTTTTGTGTATTTTTAACTCATATTATGAATATTTCTACGTGTATTTCTGTGCAAATTTACATTTGGTGTTCCTTACTTCTTCATTTTTTCTCTACTATGATTTTATAGGGTTCTGTCAACTTTAAATTTGGTGTACTGTATGCCAAAGATGGACAGCTGACAGATGACGAGATGTTCAGTAATGGTAAACGCCTTCATCCTTACATTCTTGCTTTTCTCTTTGGATTTTTTGGAAAGCAAAAGCACAGCACCGCCCAATCACCTTCAGCCATGTTCAGTGGTTGGATATGAATGTTTTTCATCAAAATTTTCATCACGACTTTGTTTTAAAAAATGTAAAGCAATCTCCTCAGTGAAAACACACATGCCAAACTGAAGATAACATTTCTGTGTCTTTTGCAGAGACGGGGAGTGAGAATTTTGAGAAGTTTCTCAATCTGCTGGGTGACGCCATTACACTTCAGGGATGGGCAGGCTACCGTGGGGGGCTGGACACCAAGAGTACGGTCAACATAGATCCACGCAGATGCGTCCAATCTCCATGATAGCAGAGATATGCTGACTTTTCCCCATCAACTGCTCCGTTTCTCTGTTGTGATTGCAGACGACACTACAGGAATTAAATCCATCTACACAGTGTATCAAGGCCATGAGCTCATGTTCCACGTGTCCACAATGCTGCCCTATTCTAAAGAAAACAAACAGCAGGTGTGTGTTATCCTACAGATGAAAACTAATCGAACGTGGTGGCTCACGACTTTTCCACTCACACCGTTTGATTTTCTTTGCAGTGATTTAAGATGACTCTACAATTCATCCCGTTTTGTGTCTTTTTTTTTTGCTTTTCACCTTTGGCTCTCTCTGTGTGGTAGTAAAAATATGTTCATAGTGAAGATGAGAAGCTACAGCTGTGTTTGAAAAAGATCTTGATCATTCACCAAAGAAAAAATAGCTCTCAAAAGTGCATTAAGATCAAGTCGAGGCAATGGCAGCCACTAAAGAGGATCACTTCAGGAAGAAAGGGCGACAGAAAAAGAACATTATAGCTCTTTTCTTGAATGCCAATGTTAGTGAGTGTGATGTGAAATGGTTGGTGCTTTGCCGTTTTGACAGATAATTGGATTTCCTCTCAAGAACAGACACTCTCGAGGTCAATAATCGGGACCAGTCTGTGTTTGTGCTGTGTATGACTGCTGGGATAATGCAAGGCTGTTCGGCACCTGAGTGACAAACCGCAGTGACACTGAATGAGGCACTTGAATCGTTATCATGCATAAACATTCAGATTCAGATTAAACTGTGGAAACTGTGCCGTGGTAGAGAAGGTGTGATAGACTGTATTACAGTAAATAAAGTATTTTTGGACCATAATGATAGGAACAATGTCATACAATAAATACATATTTGTGCAAACTAAGCATTTTGTTTTACTTTGAGTTAAACATCAAACTTTATAAGTTTGATCTTCACATCATAATTCTATTCTGTATTCAAACAAAGACTTAATTTAGTTTTGCATTTTAAACATTATTTACTTACAACCAGTTAATGTAAGCAGTTTTTTCCGTTTCTCCATCTCTTTGTTTAAAAATTCTATAAATGCAAGTTGAGAAATTATCGGACAGTTCGGAGCTTAAGCCATTGCTCTTTGTGGTTTGTCCCATGTTGCAGGTGGAGAGAAAAAGGCACATTGGAAATGATATCGTTACCATAGTATTCCAGGAAGGGGATGATGCGTCGTCATCCTTTAAACCATCAATGATTCGATCACACTTCACCCGTATCCTTAAACGTGGACAGCGTCGGTCACAGACATGAATCATCAGAGCATGAGACTTGACATGAGATGTTGACTCGAGCGTCTGCTCATGGATGATGAGGTTTCCTAAAAATACAAAGTCTCCTCTATAATAAGTGTTTCCTATACTTTCATTTCCAGATATTTTTGCTTTAGTTAGGTACAATAGCCAGAACGACAGTTACAGGTACGTTTTGAATTCCCTCCTGTAAGTGTTTGTTTTAAAAAAAGATAAGTATTGGTTGTAGGTTTAAAAAGCACTTCACTCCTCTCTCCGCCACAGGTTGAAGATTTTCTCGGAGGAGAGTGTTCCTCTGTTTGGACCCCCTCTCCCGTCTCCGCCTGTTTTTACTGATCACCACGAATTCAGGGACTTTTTATTAGTCAAATGTAAGCAAACCTTGATGAAAAATCCCTCCGATCTGCTCATACCTTTGCATCGGGTGTGTTTTTCTTACTCTCGTGTGTGTCTCCTTCAGTAATCAATGGAGAGAAAGCCACACTGGAGACGCCGACATTTGCCCAGAAGCGTCAGCGGACTCTGGACATGTTGATCCGCTCGCTCTACCAAGACCTCATGCCTGACTTGCATAAGGTACGGCGACACGTCTGCTGTTCTGCTGCTTTTCTCTGCAGCCCTCAGCTCTGCCTCCGCACACTGCACCACACCAACAAGACACCACTGCAATGCTGACTTTTTTCTGTAGGGCCACCCGTTTCTCACATCCACTGAGTTTCCTATTTCTTTGCTTTTCTGAAACGTCCCCCTTTTACTGATCTTCATCTAACACCTCAAAGTTCAAGCTGTGTTTCACTGCTGCTCTTCGTCTCTAAGACCCTTTTTTTCTGCCTTCTCTTTCCCTGGTGGGTGTCACTGTTTGGGGCCATCCTCGTTTAGGTTCCATTTTCTCCTCAGAATATGTTAAACCGGCGGTCCTTCAGCGACGTGCTGCCCGAGTCTCCGAAGTCTGCGCGCAAGAAAGAGGAGGCGCGGCAGGCCGAGTTTGTCAGGATAGGGCAGGTAAACGCACTCACACACACAGAAACGGGAGGCAAAATTCATCCTACTCATAGTCCGAATAATCGTGTTATTCTTCCACTAAAGAGAGACACCGCTGCACCACGCAAACACTTGGACACTCTTTTCCATTCATTTGGAATAACTGGATTTCGGATTGATAGAGTATATTTAAGTGTTGATTAATTCTTCTGTTTACCAATGTGAGAAAACTGTTTGGAATGTGTTAAGAAACTGTAGCTCAGGAAGAAGGATGGTTATAATTTCATTGGTTATTATTGTGGAGTAAGATGTTTAAAATTAATTTTGAAAATGATTTATGGGCATTTTCTAACATGGTGCGATGCCTTATTCTCACCATCATGTTTCTTTGAGTAAAGGCTTGCTGTTTGAAAACTAATGAATCAAACAACAATTCCAGTCCAAAAAGAAACATGTGAATGTCCAAATATGAAATCCAATTTCTCACTTGTTTTATGTTTTGAATGGAAAAAAAGATCTAAACCAAAAAATGTTGTAGTCATGAGTCTGATGACCTGTAGTGTTCTGTCACCAGGCACCAGTTACTTTGCAATCTGATAGCTTTTGAAATTCGAGCAGGTTTTCCTCCCAGCTTCATTACCAGCCTAATTGACCTCATACAGGCTGGAGTGGGGCATCTGAGCAAAGCTGTCATGTCCAATATTTTGGTCGATGTTGTAAGTCTCTATTAGAATTTGATGATGATTGTGCAGTGCTGCACACTCTGAAACAGACCAGTCGAATAATTGACCCTAACTTGTACATTCTAGGATTGCCTGTTAGAAAAAGGGCTCTGGAAGTGTTTCTGCCCCTTGTTTTTTTGTGTTCATATTCATTTTTCGATCTACGGCTATTTGTGTAGTCTGTCTTCCACGTGTTCCCTGTTCTCTCTGCACATAAACACAAAGCCGGAGATATTGACATGTTTTGCTGTAAAAAACCTGAAAACAATGAGAAGCAGAGATGTTTAGCCATTGATAATCCAGTTCATCCTTCAATAAACAGGTTCTTTTCATGTTCACACACAAAACAAAATGATTTTGTGTTCTCTCAGATGTTTTATAGCTCTGAAAACGTTTTTTTTATGGGGGCTTTCTTAACAATGTCTCACTACACTGTGCTGCTGTGCCTTTCCAGAGTTGGTTTTGATTATATTATTACGCAGATATGTAATTGGTGGTGGCTGCCTGTGAAGCATAGATTGGTAATATTTGGTCTGATCGGATGGTTTTCACTTGAACATTCAAGCATTTGCAAAGATGATTTTCATTCCCTAATTTATGAACACACTCATTGACTGAACCCAGATTAGCTGCCATCACTTTATCTAAATTTTCAGCAGCTAAAAGGTAAAAAAAATAAGTTTCTTTATAAAACATCAAGCAGCTTTTAAAATGGCTTAATGAAATATAATCTGTATGTCAAATTATTGGCAAATGTCTAAGCCATGAACCCATCTAAAGCAATCAAATTATACACTCACAATACTGTAGTAATATAAAAAATGTCTAATTTAATATAAAGCAAATGAGATCTCTTTTTAACAGAAATTGGGGTTTAGAAGCCTTTTCTGTCGCTAAGTGTCAAAACGTGCATAATTCAGTGTGAGGTGTATTTGTTTTCATGCTATACCTGGTGTTATTTGGTCCTTAGGCTCTGAAGTTGAAGACCATCGTGAGAGGAGATGCACCGACGAGCCTTGTTACCACAGGCCTGTGCAGGAAAGAGGTGCCAGCACAGCTTTGAGACATCACACTGCTCTAACCTTTTCTATATTGCCCCAGTATACATATTTATTTCTTGAAATGTCAGTAGAATTAAGTGGATACTTGCTTTGGAGAAGTTATTATCTTCTGAGATTGTCAAAATCAGAGCATGATAATGAAAAAAAAACCTTAAAGCATCAGATGATTTATTGCAGTGTCTTATATTTAGGAAACACACTTGGGCAAGTTATACCAAAATGGAACCACATGCTGCTGACCAAATTCTGGTCAAACGAATCAAGTGAACATTTTTTAAATGCAATTTTAATACTTTTTTAAGCAAATTTTAAAGGGCCAGAATACCTCCACAATTAAAACTGGTAACTTCATACAGAAGATACTTATTACTTGTTACTTATAATTTATTGCTGTTAGATGTGGTTCTATATGATATCATGAGGTGGTCTTTGCTTTCAACACATTGCCTCTGCATTTTGGGTTAGTTTTAATAGATAATGATTTTAAGGTAGTGTAATTAGGCTAATTTTCTGTAAATTGGATGATCTATTGCTATGACTGTCTATACAGTGGGCTAAAACAAGCAGATAAATGGGCTTAATCATTATTATTCCGTCGTAATGTGGAGTTTTTGTTCTGTGCACGTAAAATGATGTCATTTTCTTCCCTGCATCTTTGCGTTTAATCTTCCAAATGAATGCTCCAGCCATGGGAGTCTCAGTCATTCTGCAGCACATTCCCCTATGAGATCGTGTGTGCTGACTCCTGGGGCCAGTCTCTGCTGGCCGCCACCGACGCAGCAGGAGTGATGCTGCTGGATGGTGAGCTCATCCTATTCAATATTTCACCCCCCCCCCTCCAAAATACGCACACAATACTCAACACAGTGTCAAGGGCAGCCGCTGCCATGTTGATAATAAAGATGGTGTCCGTGTTTCAGGCCCTGATCCAGCTTTGCCCAGCAGCGGTGAGTGACACCCCATCAATGTTGATTCAGATTTTTTTTTAAATCCTTTTCAGGTAGATTTTACTCACTCAATGTGATTTATGTCATGTGTTTCAGAGCCTCAGACTGTTCCCCCGGTGCCAGTGTTTGACAAAACGATGGCAGTCAAGCAGATGCACGTTCTTGAGCCTCAGGACCTGCTGATCACCCGAGCTGATAAAGGTAGGCTTGGACCTAGAGGATGATGCTGCTTCGTGATCCTCTCTCTCTCCTCGTGACCGCTCCCTACTGCGCCATCCTTTGTCGTCGTCTCATTGAATCTGAATTGTATTTACACATCAGCATCTCCTTCATTATCCTCTCTTAATTGATTTGTGTCATCTCTCCGCGTGGCAGTTTACATGTTTTCCCTCTTGACCTCTTCCGGAGTTCACATTGATCTCTTCCTGTGATCCAAAGATTCTGACCTTTTAGAGACAAATCCCCGGAAAGGAGATCGGACCCAACACGAAAAAACAAATCTAAACAACACACAAAGTACAAGTGCCTTTAGACTAACGCACACAAACAGGATTTGGAACAGCACATAATTAATTACCCAGAGATGATTAACTAACCCTAATATTGACAAACAGGGTCGACTTGGGTTTTATAGTGATTGTGTGCTGGGAGCGCAAACATTTGTCACGACTGTGTGTGGGCTTTGATTAAGCCTCTGAGAGAACGGGGACCTTAGGAGGCCTCCTAGTAATCCTCCCACAGCACAGCGGCATTGTGTGGTGGTGGTGGGAGGATGCTTAAAACGGCGACGGCAAATTAAGAGTAACCTTCATGCTAAACAGAAGCAGCTTCTGTTTTGTTTCCAGGAAAGGACGCTCGGCTCTATGTGTTCAGGCTCGGCACGATCAAGAGGGGCCTGGAGGAAAGGCAGCTCGTCCGAAGCAAGTGTGACTGCCGGGAGAATAAACTGGAGAAGACTAAAGGTCCAACACAAAGCATGCAAAAGCAAACACACTGATGCACATACTGCTATCTGATGCCTACAATATGCAATCCAAAAAATCCCTGGAGCTATTAGCATTAGCTTTAACTAATTGAATTGAAGCTTTTTTTGTGAAAATAATATATATATATATATACATACCAGACAGAGCCAATTATTCTTCTTTTTAAGAATAAAAAAAGCAATTCATGGTTTATAGGAAACTCATTTTAAATTGGATAAATATGGACTGTATGTCTCAGGCCAGCAGTTTTACTATGAAATTTATGTAATTAGTGGAAGTTTTCTCTTATTAAAAGTTTGGCATGCCTATAAAAACATGCTTTTCCTATTTCTATAAGCTTCCAAATAACTATTCATTGGATCAGACACTCACAGATCTCTTGCCTCATTATCATTGTTTTTATAGTTAAAAGGAAAACAAGTATCCACAGAACTTAAACCCTGCCATAGAAGATGTCTGATTTTGCTGTTGAAAAACTGCTTGTGTACTGTGAGCTGTCCTGAGGTGGCCGCATTAAGCTGTGGGACGATATTTCCACGGAGCTGCCGCACTTCCAACCTGTCCGTCTCCTTTCCCCCCACACCGTCTCTGGCCCAGGTTGTCATTTGTACTCCATCAACACCCACCACGGCTCAGAGCTGAGAATAGTCGCAGCCATTAGGACCAAACTCCTGCTCATTACCAGGAAGCATCCCCGTTTCAGCGCCGTGGCCACAACAGACTCGCCGGTGGAGGAGTTTCAGTACATACGGGTACGGAAAAAACCTGAAACGCCTCAAGAGAGGAGTGAAAAATAAGTGAGAGAAGAGAGTGGCTGGGTTCGCTTTTAGACTACTACAACTACTTATAATTTCTTTCTACTGGGAATAGCTTACTGAGGCAATACTGCAGTTGTCTGATTTTGGCTTGAAAAAGCCTGTTCCCTTCTACAAGTCATACGCATGAGTCAGCATAAATAAAAAAAAGGTGGTAAAAAAAGTAACATCAGATTCAGCGTGAGTATTTTCCCTTTCGCAAATGTTCTCGCCACGGTGACAGCATAGACACGGGCAGAGGGATGGGATTGTGCGAGGATGCTGATTAAAATATCGATGTGTCCCGTCCCCCCCCCCCCCGATCAGGAGATCTGTCTGTGCGACCCGCCGGTGGTGATGGCGCTGGTGGACGGCCCGACGGGGGAAAACGACAACATGATCTGCGTGGCGTACAAACACCAGTTTGACCTGATCAATGAGAGCACCGGGGATGCCTATCGGCTACATCACGTCGATGCCAACAGGGTGAGGCGTGCTTTCACACGGCTGACCCCCTTTTTCTCGCCATTCGCTTCTATGAGATGTTCATTAAAGCCGAGTGGAAGCGAGGGGTTTGCAGCTGGCCAAGGTAAAAAGCTTTATTTGCCTGCTGATTGCCAGGCAGCTCAGGTGAATCAACAACATTGTCATTCAGAGCCACCAGCTATGGAGGAGAGACACGAGAAAAAGTCTCTTCAGATCGGAGGATGAGCAGCTGTTCTGATAAAAACAATAGATCGCGCTTTCACCAGACTGGAGCATAAACGCTGTATATGGTTGTGTTACCTTAAGGGGAATGTGACCTGACATTATTTTTTGATCAATCTCATCTTATATCTAACCTTCGGATCACGCTCAGATGGTTTCTTATAAGTGACTTGACTTTGCCCGCAGGTAAACTTTGTAGCAGCCATTGATGTGTACGAAGACGGGGAGGCGGGTCTGCTCTTGTGTTACAACTGTGAGTCTCCCCCCTTTTGACTCTCACCATTTCAGATGTTACATGACTCAGGTCTCTATCTCCTCTGTCAAAGCTGAGCCTTAATGTTTTTCCCTCTGCCACTTGAATGAGAATCATAGCTCAGACTGCAGCAGAATATTAAGCAGATAGAGATGGATTTTCAGAGCGCAGCCATCTTTGAGCTCAAAGAAAAAGAAGACGCCGAGACAGAAGGAAATGCTGCCCTAAGTCACCGTTGCACACAAACAGGTTACAGCTGAAGAACTTTAAAAAATTTTAAACTTGAACCTGTTTTTGTGTTGTTTTTGTTTTCTTTGCAGATATTTGTTACTATAAGAAGGTTTGTCCGTTTAACGGCTCCACACCGATGATCCAGTCCAATACACCTGACTTCCACTTCAGCTGGAACCAGATGCCCAATGCTATCGGTAGGTCGCTATGGCAACAGTGCTGGGTGCCCCACCCTGGCCATGCTGTTGGCCTGGCCGGAGCTTGCTGTCACCATGGAAACACCGTGTGTGACCACCAGCACCCAGCCGGCCTCTGCGATTATGGCCGTTTGTGTAATTGAGTGTGTGTGTGTGTGTTATTATGGATGCAGAGTGTGATGAAAAGCAAAAAAGAAAATAAACACTTGGTCCTAAATCTGAAGCTGTTTATCTTAAAAAAATATTTCAAAAGCAGCAAAAAGGTTCCCACTTTTTAAAACACATATACACATCAAAGCAAGTTGCCCATAAATGATGAAAACAGAGTATTCTTAGGGAAGACACCAATATATATTTCCACTAAGTATTGGACCAAAATGAATTGGGGCTACATACTTAGCTCTTTGCCTTACTCGTGTAAACAGCTGGCTGAGATCAGGCTGGACCTCATTAGCACTTCTCTCCCTGTCTAGTTGCCCCATTTTGAGCAAAAGCCTTATGGTTTGAAAGGTTTTGGCACCTTTTCTGTTATTCTGTGACCCCGTGTCCTCCGTGCACTCACCTTGTTGCACGTTTTGCATCAAGCAGGAGAGAGTCCATCTGTAGTCCACCAGCCTTCTCAAAGCCTCATCCTTTAACGCTTGGATAAAGAAACAACTCCTATTTTTGGAATGCTTTAGCATGTCATATTTTGGGGCGCTTTTGTGACAACACCTTGTCACTTCCTTTGGATCACATGTTGGCTTCTTGTCTTGCAGTGTGTGCTTTCCCTTACATCCTGGCGTTTACAACAGACTCCATTGAGATCCGGCTTGTGGTCAACGGGAACCTCGTGTACACGGCAGTGGTTCCAGAGCTGCAGCTGGCTGCTTCACGGGTCAGTACGATTGAAAGAAACACTATCACACCACCTGCTTTGCGTAGGTTATCCACCTTTGTTAACATAGATACTCGTGGATCTGCATGTTTTTTTGTTTTTTCTTGCTTTAGATCAGGCGCATATGGTGCATGCCTGCAGCAGATTTAGTTGCACTTTAGCAAAAATCATTGAAGATCTGTATGTTTGCCAGCGTCCAGTGTCAGGCGTCAGATTGCGTTATTGAAATAGCCTTCAGCTCTCTCGTTTCAATCAATCTTTATTGCTCCAGTGGGAAGTGTGGCTGACAATCTGCATAGCGACAATGCAATAATACAGTTATGATTTATACACTGAGATGACTCAAAAAAGACTGGTGCACCTGGCATCAAACAAATACCTCGCTTTCTTTGTTTGGCCCTCTCCCTTCTATCCTCTGTAATATTTCCTGGCCCCTTTTACATGTCCACCATCTCTGTTTTAATCTCATCCCTCGCTGTGTGCTTCTGTTTTTCCACCCACAGTCAGACATCTATTTTGTCTCGTCTGCGCCGGTGAGCTCAGCCTCCAATTGCAGTTCAAGAGACACCAGTTCTCACAGCTCCCCACAGACGCCCACCGGCTATGAGATGCCCGTGTTTCCTTCGCCACTCGGTGATGGTAAGCCCTGCGCATCAGAAGCACTGGAAGGTGTTGATATTAAATGGTTTACCTTTTGGCGATGCTGCCTTCAGATCGGTTTCGACTTGAAATGCCATCCCAGCCCAGAGCGTGAAAGCCATTTCTATCAACTCATTTTAGAGGAGTTGGCCTTTACTCGTTTCCTACAGTTTAATCAGGTGTAGTTTTCACCATCTTCATCCTTCCTGAGACTCTTACGTCACCCTTTCTCTCTTTATAGCACAAAATAGATTTAATTGAAATAATAACAATCAAAACAGAAATGCTAATTCCCAGCAGAGTTAATTCAGCCATGTCCAAAGACCCACTACGACCTTTAGTTTAATTGTTTTTGTACCGTAAATCCTTTATTTCCTCTCCTTTATCTGCATTCAGGGTATTTTCTAATTGAAGAAAATGGTGCAAAGAACATTTAAACAGCACCCTTTTGCTACATGCAGGAGATTTTTAAAGATGCACCTCCATTGAAACAGTTAAACATTTGAAGAACAAATTAAACTTCCTGCCATCCGAGGTGCCTTTTTGGTCTCATCGGTATTAGACAAACTTTCCCCTCTGCGCTAGCTCCTCCCACCCAAATGCAAAAATTTGTCTTCGGTTACAAGAGCAAGTAGTTCCCAAAAATGTCAATTTTCACCCAATTTTTGGGAACTGTCATCAGTTTGCATCATGTGAGCGTGCTGCTTCACAGAGGAGCGAAGCAGCAGATTGTGTGGGATGACATCTTTTGCTCCCGTTATGACCCATGATGTCAACAGACCAATTCAAAATTCAATCTGAAAATAATTCGTATTTGAGAACGTCAAAACACAGATCGGCGCGATACGTCGCTTGAGAGAGAAAGAAATTGCTTTGGCCAGTGACACGCGAATTACCTACAGGGTCTACCGCCGGCATTCAAGTGCTCGTCAGAGGAGGAGATGATGGACGATCAATATGAGCCCCTCCCTCCTTTAAGCCCACTTTCACTCTTTCCTCCCTCTGTTATTTTGTATCTCACCCACTGAGTCTCCCCTCCCCCAACTTTCCAACCTCCTCCAGATGGAAGCAGATGTTTTTACAGCTGTTAATAACGCCCAGCTATGGCAGGCATCCTCAGCTGATGGGATGATGGATGAGGGAGGTGCCGGCCCCTCTTTGATGTAACTGTTTACTCGTAATTCTCGGGGGCAGCGTTGACGCTCAAGAATTAAGAAACGCAATTATTAAATTGGTTGCGTACCTGATGCTGCACCGACTGATCTTCTCCTGATGGGAACAGCTATTTACAGGTCCCATTGGAGCTAGATGGGGCTGGATGGGGGGGGGGTTGGTTGCTGTTGCTGCAGCAATTAGCAGAGGGACGGATTTACGCTCTTAGGCTGGTTCGGGTAATCACTTCTCTCGAAGGGGGTTTTCATTTTCCGCTGTGTTTTAGCTGGTTACGCGTGTAATTCTGCGTCACCTGCGAGAACAGAGAGAAAAACCTACTGTGTTGCCGTGTTCGTGTACCTAAATGTGTGTTTCTGTGTGTGTTCGGTCTTTGTAACCCTCTTCTTCATCCCCTGGTTCAGATTCTATACGGATCCCCTATGGTACCAAGCTTTCCCTGTACATGTCTAAGGATGCCGAAGGTACTGCAGGATTCTCCCGCAACTCGTCCTCAGCTCATGAAAACATTTCGGTGCCACACTAACATGCACATGCTCCAAAAGTACATCACCCTGTCTGCTCCAAGGCGGCATGCTGACTTGGACGTTGGTTGAATGTTAAGTGAACGTTATGTCTTCCCCATCCCCCCCTTCTGTCTTAACTAAATAAAGCATTAGCATAAAGAGAGAGTGAACGGGGAGGGAGCGGGCGGGGGGGCAGAGGTGATAGAGCACAAAGTGAAAAGTGAGGCAGAGGTGATAATGTCAATCACGGCGGAGAGTTTCATAATTACAGGAGGTGCGGAAAAGGTATGCACGAGAGAGGAAAGGGAGGGGTTGTGTACACTTGGGAGGGTGGGAGAAAAAGGCAAAGAGGGAAGGAGAAGACACGTCTGCCGCAGCATGATTTACAGATTGTACTGTCGCCATGGAGACTTTTGTCAGCCCTGTCTTCGATCCAAAGTGGGAGTCCAAACAGCGGTGCCACAGTTTGATGGTGGGTGGCTGTTTGGGGGGGGTGGGGGGGTGGGGAGCGGAAGAATGGGGAAGAAAAATTGAAGGGCTGCTGACAAAAATCCCATCCTCTAACTGCCTGTTCACCTGCTGTATCTGCTCCATGGGGAGGTTTTCATTTGATGTAATTGTATCAGCAATGTGAACAAGATGCCGTTGGCCACCACTTATCTCCACTGGCTGAAACGCTCCCCAAACACCTGCGGCAAATCAACTCTGAACAATTTGACTTCAATTAGTCCTGAGAAACATCCCTAACGTGTGTCATTCATTTGCCAGCGTGGTAAAAAGTGATACTTCCCTTGGCTCAGCTACAAATGCATGTGGAATATACGGATCGCTCCGTGATTGTATATTCCAAATAACCGCATGCTTTTTTCACTACTTCTCCTTTTTTAGCCGTGCAGCATCATAGCAGCATGAGAGTGGATCCACAACCAGTACGAACACAATGTACCCGCCAGACCTGACCAGTGACCCTCTATTCTCTCCATGCCTCTTTACTCCCCTATCACCTGCTGACATTTCAGATGAGGCAGCCCTCTTTGTGCAGCATAGCCTCCACTTTGAACCATTCTCATCAGTGTTGCCATCACTCTGCTTCAATGGAGCAGTGTGGCTGCCGGAGTAATACTGCCCCCTTGTGGTAGAGTGGGGAAGTGTTGGTTTGGCAGATTTTGCAGAGCATGTCTGAGGCTGTGTTTCAGAACAGCAGCCTCTTCCATGTCCATTTGAAAAGCATGATTAGTTAAAGATTGTATAACACCAGGTTAAGAAAATTGCGTCAGATTTGCATTAGACTTTAAGAAGTGTGTTAAAAAAACCTTCAACTCAAAGGCTACTCGGCCAAATAGTCAGTTGCTTGGTTTCCTTCTGTTTGGATTAACAAACAAAATTTAACTTCATAATTATTTTTTTTCTTTGTGCAGTGACTGGAGTGTTATTTTAATTTTTTAACATACTATCTTGTTTAGAATCCTCACAAAAGCACCTTTTTTGCAGAACAACTCTAAGAACTGTTGATTATTTTTTCTGATTTAATACAGAAGCAAATATCAACCTATATCCTAAAATATTGTTTTGCTGATAATTTAATGGTACAGCAACAAGCTTGTTAGAGCACCTTTATTCTTCATTTCAGCCTAAAATTTATAAGGTAATTAAGATTATTTAATCTGTCCACATCTTGGTCATTTGGCATATGTTGCCATGGTGATATATGAAAGAAGTTCAGAAGAACAATAGACACAGTATCTAAAGTATCTTCAGTCTAAGAGTATGTGGAATGTTTTGAAACATGTTTTATGAGAAAAAAGTGCTTTAGGCGAGGAAATTGGTATATTTCTGAACTGCCACATATTCCTCCTCGTTTTGTCTTCGGTCTTGCCTTTTATTGTTTTAAACGCCCGCTCTCGTCTTTTCATTTCTCATTTCCTGACTTTTCTCCTGTCTTTTCCCGTCTCTGTTTTTTTCTCGGGATTTCCTCCCACCAGGTGAAGCAACATGCAAACACATATTTAGGATTCCCTTGTGTAACTTGGTGGGCCGCAGCATTGAGAGACCCCTGAAGTCCCCCCTGGTCAACAAAGTGCTGACAACACCGGCCCCCACCATGGTGCCCGCCGCCCCTCTCATCTCAACACACTCGCTGTCCTTATCTCGCATGGAGATCAAGGAGATAGCCAGCCGCACACGGAAAGAGCTGCTCGGTAAAACCTTCAAATCAGCTTGCAGTACAATTTTTATTTATTCTCACTTGAAATTACTCCTGTTTGACTAACTCTTATTAGGACAAGCAGGATGGGTGCATTTCCCAAATGTGAAACTTGTGTCCATCTACTGTTCTCTTGTCCTGTCCAATCAAAGGCTTGACGGAGGAGCCAAGTGGGAAATCGGACAACGGATCGGTCAAACAGAGAAAAATGAGCAAGAAGAACACTGAGGAGGAGCCCAAAGCGCGGGCGCTGACATCCACAAACAGTGACAGGTGACGTTAGCGGCACTAAAATCAAATGAACAGACTTAATGTGGTGCCCTGAGCTTAAGTTCTGTCCCCCGCTGCTCGGCAGGTCAGCGTCAGAGTCCGCTGAAGCAGACCTGGACATCCAGCTGCACTGTTCAGCCACTTTAGAGGCAGAGCCAGAGAAGGGGGTGCTTCGGGCGGAGAGTCCACCTCTGGCCAGCGCGTTCGCCCTGTCCACACCGTTCGAGGAGGACATCCTGGACCTTAAGTGAAGACAATCCCATCGTGCGCCCGCTCTTGTACAGTCACTTTTACTCTGTTGTTTTGCTTTTAATTTGTTTGTTGACCTCCTTTTTTTTTTTTTTTTGTTCTCCCCCTCATATTTTGTCGACATCCCGATGTGTGTGGCACGAGTGGGAAGTTGTGTACGTGTTTGTGTTTGTTTTGTGTGAGCAAAACCTCAGCCGCAGTGTGTTGGTTGTTTTATGTTGGCCTTTGGCAAATAACCCAAAGAGGTGGTGACGTTGTGTGATATGCTCCTGTGTGAGAAGAGTTTGACCCCAGACCACAAATTGAATGTAAATCTGCACACCAAGGTACACAAAATACGTGTGTCCACAAAGACCACAAAGACACTGAAATCCCTGTATGTTATATATTATGTGATTATTTCGAATCCACTTCCAAATGTTGTATGATAAGCATATGTATGTGTACATCTGTTTGTATGACAGGTATAAGCCTGTCTGGCCAGTGATGCATATTTATAGATATATTATAAAAATGAAATAAGAAATTTTATTCCCACACTTTGTAAAAGTATAATGTTTTATGCTCTCTGCACATTTGAGTCCTAATGGCTCTCCTTACTCACTACTTTACAGATTGACAGGGCTGGAGGCAAAGTCTCCCACAAGTGCCATTTCCCAACATCCATCCTTGAACTAGCTCACCAATGAACACCGTATTCTGGGATCTGACAGTAGCAGCCATGTTTGTAGTCCACAGTCGATGGCATTGGTAATCCACAACTCTAAACTGCTGGAGACAGTCTCTTGAAGCTACAATGATTGAATATTTTACCCCATGAAAAAAGAGGGTTTGACTCAGCACACTGGAAGTAGTTGAGCCACAAAATAATATCTGATATATCAGCAAAAATCCCACCTCGGTATCAGATATTATGTATGAGATGGTACTGCAATTTTAACCAAATTTTAGATAGAAAGTTTGAATGGAGTATATAATCACTGAATTTAATTTTAAATATATATATATTTATGTCTACATTAATATGTAGTATATATATATATACATATGAGGAAGATATTGATGCTAATATTAATGTCTTTCATTAACTGCTCTCTGTTAAATGTCAAATTCTAAACTCATGTCAGAGTTGCTGCACTCCATTTTTCCACATAAACAGTGTTTACATCAACTCTAAAGTTATCACTACAGCTGGGAAAATTCATTATCAAATTCAGCTCTTATCGTTGCATAGACGCCTGAGAACGTATTAAATAAGGCCTCACATTACCCGAACACTGACATCTCCTTTTATTAGACTGGGTATCTATACATATGGTGTGATATTGTGAATGCAACCATAAAGCCATCTCAAGAAACGTGAATCTTTCCTGTCATCTGTGGCAAAAAAAAAAAAAACTCAAGCCTTAGCTATGATTGTGCACCATTGCTAGACTGCCCAACAGTGCAGCCTTCAAGTGATTCATGAAATTAAGCATATTTGTTTGAATGGCTGCACATGAACCAGCAGGTGGCTGTTGGTTCAGGTTTTTATCTTTGACGGTGTCTTTTTAAACGATTCAAGACACAGGAAACCTTAATCGGCTCCTTGCTTTGCTGATATCTCTGGCTGTAGGAAAAGACTTTCATCAGGTTATTTTCTCGAGATGCCTTTAAAGCCAAACAATGTTTTTTCAAAGCAAGTTTTGAGGCTCAAGAGAAATTAATCATGTAAATGAATCTAATTTGTTACTATCAGTATATGTGTAAAGACAACAAAACTGGTGTTGCTTCAGGTTATTGGTGCCTTTGAGCCCCATCAACTCAGAAACTACACAACCCAGGTGGAAATGGTCTCCCACAGGAATATTTAAAAGTTCAAAAGCTCATAGCAGATACAATCCTGATGACAAAGCAACAATATACCATCACCTTCAATTCTTTGTGGATAATTCCTTTATTTTAAACATAGGAAATATGGCTGTGTGTCGTGGTGTGAACATTGACTCTGAATAATCAAACTTCATAATTGTGCTTCAGGAATCAAACTGGAAGCCGTTATTCTCACTATGTAAACATGAGAGTGCCTCTGTGTGGTTTCCCCGATATTGCATGAGCATCCTACTCCTCCCTGTTTCCTCCTAACTGTTCACCTGTTCCCCTGCCTGCCACAGCATGAATCGCTCCAACACTATAACACAACCTGAATAGGGGATAAAAGCCGGAACAAGATAAGCGAGGAGGGACTTTTCTTTCTTTCTCTGTTGTTGTTTTGTTTTGTTTTTGTGCTTCTTTGTGTATCACTCTGATTGAGGGTGGATAACTGGGGGAGTAAACCCCCCACCTCTGTCTGTCCTTTAATTCCCACGTTTGTATTGAATATTCTTGATTTCTACCTCCCCTTGGCATTTTACCGTCTTTTTTTTGTTGTTTATTTGTTATTGAAATCTATATTTCCTGTTTAGATTGTTGCTGACTCTCTCCGTGATATCAAAATTAAAGAAAACTTTTAAAAAACAAACAAAAAAAAAACACCAAGTGTCTTAAAATATTGTATCGCCATTGTTTTTAATGCCAAGTAATACTTGTAAATGTTTGTGTATCAAATGTGGCCTCAAAGGAAACTAAACTATATTATTATTGTTATTCTAAATATTATTATTTGAGCAGTTATTTTGAACAAGTGCTGTAGACCACTGCTGTGAAAGTAGTTGATTCTGTTCCTTGATATGTAATAAATATTTATGGAATTATAAATTGTGCTTCTTGTTTGGTTATGATCTTCTGTCATTTTGGAAGACATTGATATGCCAGACTGTCTATTATTTGTCATTTCTATTTAAAAAATGTACCTGTTTAAACTTTTTCAACTGAGAGATTTAAAACAAATTACATAACAGCCCATGTTTGCTATTTGAAAAGTAATTTTAAAGTTTTAATAACTGGCCTTTAAAAAAATGTTTTTTCAAAGGCCAGTTATTTACATTTCTCTGTCCTGTCCACCTGTGGCCACAAGGTGGGGGTAAAATATTGATGCAGCTCCAACAAGAGAAATATGAAATCCCTCATGAAGTCTCTCAAGTGTAAAATGAAGCCCTGTTTATCTTGCCAAAGTTGAGCCCTCAGCCCCTCAACAAAGGACCATCGATTCCAAAGAAAACAGGGAATGGCCAGCCGACAAAGACAAAGCTTATGTAAGAGGGTTTTTTCATACTTCCAGTACATGAACATGAGAAACACATGACTAAACTAAACAAGTATAAGTCTAAAGTGCCCTGTAAATGTATATGAGGGAGTTTTTTTTTGTTACTTTGACGACTTTAAGAAGGGGCTCTCAGAATAACCAAAGGATAATGTGTGGGAAGCAATTAGACACACCCTTGGACGTGGGCTTTAGGTTTCACCAGGATGGTATGTATTGTTAATGCCCATTCATTTAACGCAAAGGATTTTCCTGTCCTCCCACTTTCCAGGTCTGGAATCTTTGTCTCTTGTGTGAAAAAGATAAAAAAAGACAGCCAAAAAAACAACAAATCTACTTCTTCATTGAGCCATAGTCATTTTCCCTTGTTGGAAAATTACCTGAAAGGTCACAGGGGATCATATCTTAGGGATGGAAAACTTTGAGTTACACGTAAAATTTGAAAAAAAAAAAATACAGAGCCCAAGAGAGTTGACAGATGGAAAGAAAACATTTCAAACTGCAATTGTGCTCCGTCTGAAAGCACGGCTGTGGACCGCTGTGTCTGGAAGCACATACGTGGCTTCCCGGCACCTTCCCGGTCCCATGGCTTTGACAGAGAGCACAGCGCTCCGTGTTACGTAATAGGTGCAGGAATGCTGGACCTTTGCCGAGGATTTCTGGATCATCTCACTCCTGCACACAAAGTGGGCCCCATCCCATTAAACATTAGTTTTTCTCCAGCCTGAACTCAACAGAGATCTGTTCAATCTAGGAAAAACAGAGGACACATTCCCAGGTAACAATGGCATCTGCATGGTCATAAAATGCTTTATTAACTAGAAACATGTTTTAGTTTAATCACAAACATATCATAATAATAAATAAAAGACCCTAAGAGTATGTTTTCACATATTAAAATGACATTATTACATATAAGATACTTTTTTGCCAGCAATTTCAGATCTTTCTTCCTCCTGTAAAGGTATTTTCATTCACACAGGAGGAGCATTAGGAGATGATACTAAATCTTTCTGCACCTCATCAACATAGTGCCCAAACACAGGTTTACACAACAGATAGAAAACCCACACAGGAAACAGACAAAGCCATGATGAGGATATGAAACCACACCAATGGTGGCCTATGTTGTGTGTAAACAAAAAGAGGTTAGGATTAATCACACAGTGCAGCTCAACTCGTTTCAAAGTGGATTTGAATCTAAAGCTGTCGGTGAATTGATACATTGAACAAATGACTGTGAAAACTAGCAAAAACCTTCATTTACGTTTGAAAAATACGGTTTAGGGTGTCAAATATCACGCTTTAAATACACTTTAAGATACTGTCACATCTTGAAAAAAGGAAATACTGTTTCAATTTCACAAAAAAACCCAGCACTGGTGTAATCACACGCTTGATATTGCACTCCCAACATGTTCCCAGGGGGCCACCGGGGGGCCTCAAACTGCTTTCTCTGACACAGGCTGTTAAGTCATTGCAGAGGTATTTTTTATATGCATATGCCTACTCCGAGTTCAGTCCCCAATCGGTGGTGAGTTAGGCATATGTCGCTACTGTCATCAGGATCTGCACGGCCATGGAAACACAGGGTATCTGTGCCACGGTGTAGGCCACAGAGCGGGTGGGCGCTCTCAGGGCCAGCAGGTAGGCCACGCTGTGCAGGACGCGGCCCAAGAAGAACACCAGGAAGTGGATGCGGGCCACCCACAGCGAAGGTCCAGTCATGGAGTAGATGGCTCCCAGGAAGAGGAAGGGGAGGATGTTCTCCAGGTCGTTCATATGGGCCCTGAAGGAGAGAAAAAGCTTTTAGAATCTGGACCGAAACTTTCAGCGCCCTGCTCGGCCAGTCTTGCTCGCTTTTAACTCTCAGGAAGCCACCAAGCTGATTGGTGGTTTCCTTTGTTTCGCTTTATCTTCTCCCTCAGTGTTTGGACAAGCTGTGAGTCGGAACCCGAGAGTTTGAGAGTTTGAACAGAGTTTGTGTTTTACATAACAGTTTTACATCAGACCAGACGTTGCTTGTAAGTGGCCTTGCAGTTTCTCATAACTGTGCCATTGAAACCGTGAGGAGCAGTTTCTACTGGCTTTTTGGGGGCCAGAGCAATACCTGAGCCACAGGTTTTCCTGAACAAAAAAACTGTCCCTCATTGCAACCGCACTTGTTGATGGCTATCACTGGTCATTTGAACTGGAGCATGGTCCAGGAGGTTTTTTGCTGAGTGGTTCAAATAGACCTGAGTAAGAACTTGATCCCTGTCTCTAAAAGGGTCACAGTTATGTCATAAAAATTAGAATAGGGAATTACATAGGCAGGTGAGTTATTTTAAAAGGTGAGTTATTGTTTGCTGTTGAAACAAAATCAGATTGTGAGCAACAATACAAGAACCTAAACTTGCTGACTGGGAGCTCCAGCGTTGTGGATCAGTGGACCGTGCTGTGACTCAGCAGCCGTGAAGTAACAATCATTCAATCAGGTTTTGGATTTTGATTTCCTCTGTGAAAAGTCAGGGTTTGGCACGGGGTTCCCTGTATGTGCAACTCTGTACATTTGGAAATGTCGCTAAGTCTGTGAGACCCTGCTCATGCTCAGTTAATCTCACACGCGATAGCACCAACGCATTTGAAGTTCTCCCCTAATAACAGCCCACACAATATACAGCCTCATAATTCAAACTATTCCTCCCTCTTCCTCCACACCCATAAAGTGCCCTTTAACTGTTCCTGAAGCAAAGCTGTGATCCTACATATTTGTGTACTGAGCAGGTACCATCATATTTAATGAACACATAGCAACTGTCCAAATATTAGTAAGTCTGTGAGCTACAATTAGTGTGCGAAGGCTCTCCAGCAAATCTGTTTTGCAGCATGGGTTCTCACAGGGATCAGACGCAGGGAGAAAGAGGCTGAACATTTTACAAGATGGACAACATCTGCACCCCCGACTCCTACAAATGAGTTCCCAAGCTGCAAAACGCAAAAAATCTTATGAGAAAGATCCCAATGTACTTCCCCCCCCTCTTTTTCTAGATGTTTTTGGTGAGCTGCACAGAGGAAATGTCTTAAAAATAATGCAATAGTGCATGTTAAGGATATTGTTCTGCTTTTGATTTTCACTCTACATGATCTTTTAACCCCAAATGAAAGCATGCCCTGACAGAATCTAACTTTGTGCTACTTTACCTCCGGCATCTTTCCACATATGGATCCTCTCTGTGATATTGTAAACCTCCATGCCTCAACGCGTCCTCGGGGTTGGCAAAAGCCTTCAGACAGGAAAAAAAATGGTTCACATGAAATAGGGAGCAACGGATCTGCCTGTTTTCGAGACTTTCTGAACGGTATTTACTCACCTTTTTACGCAGCCTCACTTGTCCCGTAATGATTGCTATAACGTACATTTTTATAACCAGCAGAACGGCGTAGAAGACAAAACAGGAAAAAACTCGGTTTCTTATCATGATTTAATCCTCGGAGCCGCGGTTAAACGAAAAAAAAAAAGCGCTCCGAAAGCGGTGGGTTGCTGAAAGTGAGAGTGAGCCCGATAGGAGCGCTTTTTATACGCCTGCAACCCGCGATGCGCCTTCCCACCAATCCCAGCAAGGATGACAAGTTGAACCAAACGGAAATGTTTCATTCATGACTTTCCCCAGACTGAAAAAAGCCCTCCCCGAGGCTACAGTTCATTTGAGCAATAGTGGTGGATCCACATGATGCAGTAACATGATGAATAAATGATTTTTTTATTGAGTTATCTGGCAGAATTAATGGAATATTTGAAGATATTTTTCCCTCAGCTTTCTTTAGCTTCAACTTTCTTTTTTAGTAGCACTGTAGAACTTAGAACTGATGGGTTTCCCCCTTTGTTGGAGTGAACTGTCAACCATCTACCTCAAATTCATCACTGTCAAAGAAAAAAAAGCAATATATCTTTTTCCATTATTTTTCATAATTTGCCTGATTTAACCTGTCAATGAATGCCAAAACTCAAATAACTATGTTATACCCATGGGCAATTTCAGAGCAGGAATTTTATTTAAATGTAGAAGCCCAAAGAAGGATTCTTACTATAATGGGTGAAATAATCGGTCTACAAAATGACTTTTTGGGGTATTACTCAAACGTCCACTTTGGGAAATCAAAAGTTTGAAACCGAAGTAGATCCATGTGACTAAGAGGACATATGAATGATGCAGTCTGAACACTGTAACTGTCGCACTTTTCTTTACTTGTTTGAGCAATTGTACTGACAAATCACTTCACGTGAGTCTGCTGGCAAAACATAGGCAACAAGGCTGGTTGCAAAACATGGAAAATTTCCACTGTGGTCTAGGGGAGCCCACTTCTGCTGTTGTAATTGCTCAACGGCAGAACCTGTCATCATTTGATGCCTCGGAGTGTTATGAAAACACAGTTTTGTGCAGCTGACTGCAGATATCCTTGAGGTCAATTTAAAGGTAGGGCGTCTTCTGATGACTCACTGTTTTAATTTTGGAATACATTTTAGCCCGCAACATTTCAGCAATTCCACATGTCAGTGTCAATATGATTTGAGGCCTTCACACGGTAATATTTCAGATTATTTAGAGGGAGAAAACATTCCTCTTTTCTTTTTTGATACAGACAACTACACACACACACACACACACACACACACTCATACTCCTGCAGTTGCCCTTGGCTGGGCAACAGTGCTAACCACCACACTCCCTGTGAACCTTTTAAATGGAAAACACTTCAAAGAAAACATGCATAATCATTACATTTGTGCCAAATACACTTAATAAATAATCCCGTCTTCGGCCGCCACCCGTTCCACACAGCACCCGACCCCTTTGGCCCCTCCCATGGGTGATGAGCCCACTGGAAGGGGGACCCGTGCCACCCATGGGTGAAAGCCCGGCCACTAGATCATATTATTTTGACCATCATAAAGGGTCAAGTCTGGGTTTCCCTGCTTTGGCCGCTGCCCCCATGAGACCGGAGCCCATATAAGCAGTTGGAAAACGGATGGATGGATGGATGAAACCTCATCTTTGGAAGACAACATCTTTATTTATTTGACTTTAAAGTCGTAGTACACGGTTGGGTGTGGAGTTTTCAGCCGTCGGGTGCCTGCGCCTGCCAGTCCAGCGTGAGCGAGCTGCCTGAGCTGGTGTCGTCGCAGCAGTCCTCGGCGTCGGAGAAGGACGACATGTAGTGGAGGCCCGTTACCCTGTGGTAGCCTCCCTGAAGCGTGGGCGGGTAGGTGGTGAGCTCCACAGCCCTGCGGCCCGTCCTCCTCGCTCTCACAGTCCACATGTCAACGAGCTGGGAGCACATGACGCATCCCATGTTGTGGCGATAGACCCCTACCGGTCTTAAACACAAACAGAAATGTCCGCGCACTTTGATGTTATTATTCGAAACTAACGGTCTGTAACTCAAAGTGAAAGTCTGAGTCTCTGAGATGTTTCAACAAATAACCTGAATCTATCTTTTTCTTGCTCTCGACTTGAAATCTAGTTCTGATTGTGAGTCGCAAAACCCTGCGCGGCCGTAGCTGCAAGCCAGCGATAGCCTCCGCCTTTTCTTCTATAAAAGGCCAGCAAACAGAAATCAATGAGAAAGGAAATGGAGCCCAACCACAAAGTTTCACAAAAACATACCGTGCAGCAGTGCATCGAGTTATCTGTCTTTAGTAATAAACAAACAAAAAACCCACAACAGTTTTTCACTCAAAGGGCGGTCAAGAAGTATGAAGCCAGGCTCATATCTGGCCTATCTCAAGGTGTTTCCAGTCTCTTACGGCTGCCAGGCATGGCATGCAAATATTTATAGAGGTTGCTTTTTGCAAGAAGAAAGAGGGGCCTCAAAGAGCTACTTCGCAGACACAGTTGAGTCAGTAGATGACTCCTCCGGCTTTAACTTTCCCACAGTGTCTGCACGCGTTGTGGCATCTGTCGAGTGATTTTTTCCTGATCCATGTTAGCCACCAGTGATTTACTGAATCACTGGAAAAAAGGGAAAGGAAACAGAATAGCTGTTAGTCGGATGGCCGTGCAACAGATTCCATTCACAATTTTCATGTCAAGTCAAAAGTCAAAATGCTGTTCTGCAATATTCCTCAAAACTGCTGTAAGAACAATAAAGAAAAGTTAGAAAAACCACAACTCAACGATCAACAATCAAGAGCGTGACCTTTTCCGTATTATTGCTTTACTTTCCTAAAAATAGCACTGTGTTTATGATCTACACATGAGCAGGAGCAGCAGCACAGTTGCCTCCTCTCCGTGTTTCAGAGCAGGCTTTCCTAGCTTCTGAATGCATACTATGCAGACACCATTTTCCCGATACATTCCTGGAATTATGGTGCTTTACTCTAGTGGCTCCAACACTAGCTGCCCCTCAGCCGCCCTCCTTCCACTAAGTGACCCAGGCTGACATGTTGGACTTGGGGTGAAACCCTCCATATCTATTCATGATATCTGTGGTTCCAAATCTCCTCCTTTGGTTAGGTTGTTCTATAAGCAGTGTTTCCAACTGGCTAAAGCCCTTCTGTTTGTCCTGGTTAGATGACTCAGGGATCGGATGCTTAAAGGTGCCTTGATCCCCAGCTGACTCTATATCTTATTGTAATGCAGCACACGGACCTGAGGATCACAACCGTCCAATATGAGTCGCACTTTTTGTGTCTGGCATACAGAGATTTCTCCCTATTCCCTGAAGGACTCGATGATGTCACGTCCTACAAATGATAAAAAACAGAAGTTATTTGCTTTTTTTACATTGAAAAGCATCATTCAATTTGGTTTTAATTTTGATTTTACACAGAATCTTGTCAGGGTTTTATGATAAAGACGAAAAACTATGGGCTAAAGAAGCTGGTTTTGACTGTTTTGTCTGCGACTTGGAACAACTAAAAGATTAATGCTAAGCGAGCTGAGGGACATCCCGCCTTGCACATTGCAAACTTTTAAGCTGATGTAAGAATGATGGTATACCTCGAAAATTTGATAAATTATGAAAAATTGCAGATTAAGTGGGAGTTCAAAATGACCTGGTAGCAATTTCTGGAATAATCTGACAACAGATTTGTACCCAAGGTAGAGAAGTGGTAGGGTAAATACAGGTCCAATACCTAAGTGTTTAGAATTGGAATATTAAAAATGTATGCATGAACAAGGCAGAAGTCTGCTTGTTCTAACAGCTGTGGACACAAAGCGATTACTGCCACGAATTTGTTTTAAATTGAAAAACAAAAGATGGTTTCCATGTAACCGTTTATGCACAGCGCTCCGTGCTTTAGGCCTGTCAACATTTGCAAAATAGTTACAGTGCTGCGACACGATCAGTGCAACAGCTTCCCCCCTAAGGATATGTTCGCCTCTCACTGTAAAAAAAATTCCCAAAATACAGATCTCAACTTGTCCTCCAAGACCTAGCGTTTGTCTTCCTGGTGCATAAAGAGCCACTGGCAAGGGTAAAAAAAAAAAAAAGCCTTTAATGAAGATGGAAAGGACAAGTGGTGCTGCCACGTGCCACACCCATCCCCTCCCAGTGAGAGGACACAGCGGGAGTGACTCCTCAGCAGTCCTGAACTGATTTCAAATGGGATCTTTGATCATTCATCGGTGTGTCTGATGCGTCATGAGCTGCATGGTAGACAGGTGTAACTAGTATCCAAACATCAATGCAACCCTGGTGTGAGGAATGCCGCCGTCAGAGCTGTGAACACACACACACACGCTCACGCTGCTTGAGACATGACAGAGTGCTGTGTTCATGTGATGTGAAAGATGCTGCAGCCATGCGTGTGTTGCGAGTCTCCCCGAAATGCCTTACCTGAGAGCGGTGAGTCAGTCCTCCGCACGCATGCTTTTTTATGTCCCCGGTGTGGTCTCAGCAGCCCGGTCTGCTCCCTCCTCACTCTGCCTCCATCTCTGTCTGGGCTGGATTCAGCCCAGCACACGTCCGGGACTTCAGATGACATCACAGCTCCTCACTTAAGACTTGGTGTCTTTCTAAAATGAAAGAACCAAGACCCTTTTCTTTCTCTCTTAGCTTGGATCATTTGATTTGATTTTTTCGCTTAATCATATCAAGAAAAAGGATTGGCCTGGAGGGTTTTGCTTTAATGATTCCAGATGATTTATTTAGGCATTGAACCCGTTTGGGGAGATAAAATCCATCGCATCAATACAGGAGAGGCAGCTCCCTTCCTTTCCTCTCATTGTTGTATTTTACTAGCAATTCTGTCAGAAAAAACAAGGTCTGAGCTGGAGTTTGACACACTGCTACTGAACATCCTGATCTGCTCACTTTCATCATGTCAGCTACTTCCGTTAAAGCAACCCATGACCCGGCAAAAATAGTAGTGAATTAAAGTGAAATGGAGACGATTGATGCTAGATTTTATTTGCACTTGGTTCAGACTTGGATTTGTGTGTCTATGCTGGTGAGGTCTCAGCCCCCTGTATGAATATGGCCATTACATTTTCCTCAGTGTAATCGGTAGTTTTATAATGTGTTAACATCCATTTAAAGACCTCCTTCACTCACTAGTTCTAATGAAGACTGGGATAATTGGATTGAAACCGCTCTCATTCAAGAGTGGTATCATTCACTCATTCATTCTTTGTTTGTTTAGCAACAAAGAAACAAGAAATGATGTGCATGAGGGAATATTTTCTCCCGTTTTGGAAAAAAAACAGGTGTATGCTGCGCTCTACTTCTCACCCCATACTTAGCACCGAGCGCGACCGAGTCAACCTCACCACGTTAAAAAGAAAAAGAAAATTACAGATCAGAAAATGTCAAACTACCACTTCAAAGTACAAGCTCCTTCAGTAGGTGTCTGCTCAACACAGAGACAACCATCATCATGTGCCCAAAGGCATAAAAGACAAAACCAGAGAAAAACCTTTCTAAAAGCAAGCACTGGAGATACTTCCAAGTACTTTTTGAACATTAAATCAACTTCAAAACGGCAGTTTTTGATTCATTCAGGGAAAGTCGTAATGTTTGGGAAGTTGCTGGCCTATTATTTAGTTCCTGTGCTCTTTCTTATGTTCTTTTGCATTTAACTGAGTTTTTAGAAATAGCGTCGTTATGGCATCTTACACCGTTTATTCATGGTTTTGTCCTTTTTTGTATCTTGCTATCATGTTTCAAACCACAAGTTGACCAGAAAGCACCATCCTCCTCCAAAGAAGCTGCATTTCCCCTTTAACACCTCTCACTCAGGTTTAAAACATTTACCCCAAAGCACCTTATACATACCTGTTGTGTTATGATTTCAATGTTGCCCATCTTAATATATTTTTATTTTACATCACATTAAAAAAAGTTAATATACAAGACAGTGAAACTTTAATCATTAAACCAGTAATGAGCATTTACATCAGTTATACAGACATTAAGACATCCATCGCACTGAACTGTGGTTTGGCCACAGGTCAAAACCTCTCCAGTTTCGTGTCAGCACATCGTAGAATAAGAGCAAAAAAATGACTTGGTTTTTATCTGTTGATCTGTACATCAATGCCTGTTTTTCCTTGTAAAATTGAAATCTCACACGCTTAGTTACGTGCTGTAACATGAGCAAAATTATTAAGAAGTGGGAATAATTAATGAACTGCCACTCAAATCCCCTTAATGTGATGCTTCCGCAGTTCAAAGGGTTATGGCAGGATTTCTTAGATGAACTGACTTAGATTGCACCAAGACTTGTCTTTTAGTTCATTGCACATACTCCCTGAAACCTATTGAAAAACAAACAGGATTTCATTTCCTGCAGATAAAGTGTGGAAATGTGTGAAAAGAGACATATACGCTGCAGAACTATGAAATATCAGTTGCTTTTCTTAGAAAAAAAAAATGACGGGACGCATGGATTACAATGAGCAAATGCAGAAAATATATAATCAGTGGACAAGCTAAAGATTTTTTCATGTTAAAGGTAAAAAGAAAATTCTTTCTTCTTCTTTTTCTGGCTGGGATGATTTTGAAGTTGCAACAGGGAAAAGAAAAAAAAATCAGATTTGCCAGTTAAAACTAAGCTCACCATTTTCAAGCTCCAAAATAAACTAAATAACTTAAATAAACTAAAGGCATCTTTTTACTAAAAGTGCACTGATGGTTTCCAATTCTAGTTCTAAATTGCTGGAAATAAGAGTTTCTGGGTTTAAAATAAAGAGCTATACAAAATGTACTGTTTTCAGACTCAAGCTTCTCTTTCAGTTTGTTTTGAAAATGACTTTTTGGGAAGTTAGAAATGTAATCCTTGAAAACTGGAAAAGTATGACCCCAGTTAGTCAGTAGCCAGTTATCTTTCTGAAACCCAGTTCATCTTAATCTGGATGACAGCAAAGTGTCCATCATCTGTAACATTTCACTGAAATTAAAGCTGAACATCTCTATTGAAATCTATCTTTTATGACTTACTTTCTATGTCTGACTGTATATTCTGTATGACTTACTACTAAGTTTATGTCAATTGACATAATCTAACATAATCTTAGTTATTTCAAGTTTAATTTCAGGGTGAATCTTCGCGTCTTACATACAGATTTTGCAATACAGGAAGCTGGTTTACTATTAGGATTAGCGATAGCAATAATAATCTAAAGATGAGGTGGGAGATTGCTGAGCATTTAAACAGCATGATTAGCTGTTGATGCATTACCATCAATTAGCTGTTGTGATGGTAATTCAAGATTCCTCCATATTACTACTATTTCTGTGCTCATTTGCTGAATGCGTTTCATTCCCTCAAAAGAGCACAGATTTATTCTGACTCACATGGAGACCAACAAGTTGTTTAATAAACTGTTTCATTTAACAAGACTAATTACAAACTTACTCTGTAAGCTCCTGAAAGAAAAGTCAAGTCTTATCACCCTGTTTGACATGTGAATCAGTCTCCTGCTTATCTCTTCCTATGACTTATGAAATGTTCAAAGTCGCATCTACTTAAGCTCTTATGCCTATCTGTTGATCGAGCCCGCATAAACTAAAGTAAGGCGATTTTCAAAGACTTCTGAGCACATAAACATAAGATCTATCTGCTTGTGCAAAGTCATCCATTCTGTAAAATGTCCTTCCTCCCAGCTGCATGCATTTCAAGCCCAAAAATGGTCTTTTACAACTTACACATGCACGTTTTGTGGGTATAAAAAAAACCCTGCTATTGCCATTTAAATGGTCAAAACAAAGAAAAGAAAAAAGACTTCCATTCCTGAGGGCTCCATTAATCTGAGGTTGGAGGTGCAAGAGTTATAGAGGGAGGGATTTCTCACTTCACGTCTCCACTTGTTGCTATGTAACTAGTAAACAGGCATACAACAGAAAGCTTGCTAATGTATCTCGGTTGCCGTTTCCAATGGAATAAAAAGTCCCCGCGTCAAACGTCTACCAGTAGTTAATGTACTCCGTAGCATTCTGGTTGGCAACACTGGCAGCTGTCCGCACGCCACAGACAGGTAAGCACTACAGGACATCTAGTCACTACAGCGGCCACTGACACACCACAGCCACCAAAACAGCGCCAGAGTTGTGACACCATATCTTAGAATTATAATGGGTTAGAATGTATTTGTGTGTATACATATATATATATATGTACACACACATACACACGTTACACTTTTACATTTCAACACTGAAGATCAGCACCAGCACAATGAATAAACTGTGTGATATTTCAGTACCATATCCTCTTGTTGTGGCTCAGCATCATAACAATATGCTCTGCTACATTTACAAAGTGCTCGCGATGGGGCCTCTTCACCAAGGTGCAAATTCCTCAGCTTCCTGTGAGGACAGGCGTGAAAAAGGGAATCCAAAGATCCTGGGAAAGACGTGAAAAAAGAAAAGAAAAGCAGTCTGAGAGCAAATAGGCACTGAACTCTAACTCTGGCCCGAACACTAGCCTCCATTGCTCATGGCCACATGGAGAGATTTCCTGCTCTCCACTGCAGAGAAGGAATGCATGAAATAACGAGGTTGACGCAAGCAAAGGGGTAACCAAAACCTTATGTTTCAAATAAATGAGTGCATGTCTGACTCCATGCATGTTCCCACCTCAGATTAAGTCAAAGTGCTCTCGTCTCTGCTTCAATCTTCCTCTCCCCGTGAAGACTGTCGGGGTCGGCCAGGGCCACCGTCTGTCTCACTGCGATCTCGGGCCCTCCGCCATATATGCCCAACAAATACTGCCATGTCTCCTCTGAGATCTGTCCGTAGTCTGCACCTGGGGAGAAAACGCAGCAAAAACGATTAACTGAATATTCATCTTTGTCATTTCACCTTTATGTGCTTCACAGAGACAATTGAGGTTTACCCTGTTTCAGCTGTAAATGTCCTCCTTTCATAACCCCAATTTTACTGTTGTCAATGGGACCAGGGGGCTCTGAGAGCAAAGAGAAGAAGCATTTTGTAAAGAGAAAACAAGGACAAAGAGCCTGAAAAGACAACTGTAATTTTCCGCGCTCGCAGGGGGATACCGTTGTCTTTGCCCTTGACAAAGCTTTCCCACTCTCTGAACCACTGCATGCTGATGCACAGGATCACAGTCGGAGCCTCCTCAGCCTGAAACTCTTTGTTCAGCTACAAACGAAAGAAAAAACGTACAATGAATACTCACCATCAACAGCATAGACATCTTTGCACAAAGAAAAAAAGTATTTTACAGAGAGAAAAAAAAGGACCTTGATGAAGGTGTCTATTTCTGTTTTCCTACGTTTGGCAAGAGCTTCGATTTCCACCTGACAAATGGCACACATGTACAAGTGGTTTACAGCTGGGCCACCCCCAAAGCTAGAAAAAAAGAACAGCATTCAAGACTATTAGATAGTTAACAAAAGATACAGCAAAGCTGACAACTGCCGATCGTAAAGTTACAAGGCTAGGTTTTTAACGTTTTGCTAATACATTTAGGGTCTGTTGAGATAAGATACAACATAGTTATGACAGCAATATAACTTCTAATAATAACTTGGCTATACTAACCATAATCTATGGTATTTTTCCACTCATTTTTATATAAAAACACACCATGATGAGAATCAGTGCCAAAAAACACAAAGTGGTTGGTTTCATAGAATAAAACATTCTGTCAGACATTTTGGTTTCATATCGCCAGCATCTTTGTGACATACTATCCCAAACCTCGAGTGGAAGAAAAAAAATCAGTGATAAAAACTGAATATGAAGTTTCTTGCATGGTTACCTGTTGTATAGGTATTCCCAAACATTCTGAGGCACAATGACAACAAGATCATCTATGTAGTTGTACTTATTGGGAGGAATGCCTGTGCAGAGAAAATAATCCATTAAAAAAAGAAAGACAAAAAAAACAAAACTTTACTCTTCTTGTAAAAAAAACACAATTCAACTGCATCACTTGTAGATCACAAATCTTTTTTTTTTGTGGAATCGAATACAGACACATTGCTTATTCACAAATTGTGGTGAGGTGAATATTCATTTAACAAAAACTGGACATATGGTATAACTTTCTAATACCAGTTTATATAACTTTTCAGCTTTTATGAAGCTGCAGGCATACGTTTTGTGTCTTCTCTGGGTTGCAGTTAAGCACCGACCCTGTAATTTAGCTAACATTTGGTTGGTCGGCTGCCAACTTCAGCCGAGGATGGGGCCTCTCTGCTCTCTATCTGATCAGTCAGTGGTGCTGAGAAAGTGCTGACACTGACAAATTCCATTGTTTTATGGAAATGTATGTTCACTTTTCCAAGCTTTCACCTCAAAATTGCTTCAAACCTTTCATTTGAAGTTTTTTTTTTGGTAAATCAATGGGATCTAATGAAATAAGTTTTAAGTAATGTGTCTCACTCAATGGTTAAAGAAAAAACAAACCATTACAAAGAGCATTTCTGTGTTTCTGACAGGATTCAGATAGAGATATTAAGACTCATTTACCACACACCTCCGTGCTGACAAAGAAAAGTGTGATTGCTAATGGGGCCCGGCTCGGCGAAGGTGTTGAACTTGTTCAGCCATTCCCTGGAGATGTAAAACTGCAGCAGGCTGGGCTCTTTCATACTGGCCAGAGCCACCACTTTTTGCCTTTCTCTCACCGATTCTTCGCTGCTTTTCCTGCATCAGGCCACGACAGTAATTCAGCGCCGGCATTTCAGATAAATATTAGAGTTTTTCTCAGGGAAAAGGTCTTTTTTTCTAATACTCACCTATAGAACAACACATAGGCCTCTGCATTCTGCACCACTGTCTCATGGACCTCTGTAACGTACTGGTCATCAAACTCATACCACTGTCCGTTGATCACATTCTGACAATAAGCTATGTAGTGTCCACCTGCATCGACATAAAGGGTGAGAATGTAAGGGAAAAAGCAGAGGATGAACACTTGCACATGCGGTTCGTTTTTCTGATATGATTACCAAAAAGGAAGCAACATCTCAATCAGTTAAATCTGAAGGAAATGAAGCAATCTCATACTTCCCGCCGTGCCGTGGTGGCAGATGACTGACAGCAGATCGTATGTGCTGACTTGAGATGGACTTTCTTTAGCCAGGAAGGGTCGCATGTCGAGGCCTTCCAGTGGGAAGGACACGTGGCTGCTGATCTTGAAGGAATACATGACCTCGTGCCGGAAACGTTTCAAGTGAATGCACAGAATCTGTGTGACAAACGTGAGGCCGGAAAAATATAAAACACCTTATGCTGTTGAATGAAACTCCACTCAACTCTTTTTCGAAGGCAAAAAGCCATCAAGTTTAAAAATAAAAACAGAAAAAAGTACCTCTGGGAGCTTTAATACTTTACAGTATTTGACGCCGTTTCTCAACCTGCAGAAAATAGAATTTTAATGAGTGATTCTGCTGTGTTTCAAACATGAAACTGATTATTAAACCAGCGTGCACTTCAGGGACGTACTCACTTTTTGCATCTCTCACAGCTGTACATGTTGTCTCCTGGGAAAAGGGGCGAAGATTTCAAATTCAACTAAATTCAGACGCGCATCAGTTATGCATGTCAGCCTGTTTCTGTACTGTTTACCTTTGAGTTCATCTGCAGCGAAAAAGGCAGCGAGGCAGTCCTCTAAAGTTACCATTGGGCCCCAAAACCAAGTGGGGATACATGAGACGACGAAGCTGTTCAAAAGGCAAAAGGCAAACAGAGGGGATCGTTATAAGAATAAACCCCAGAGAACCTGGTTAATGTTCATCAGTGCATTGGCCTTTCTGACAATATGGACCCATCAAAAGGGGAAGCGGTGATGAAATGACTCCGCGCAGCCTTTTGCTGAAGTTCGCACCCTGACTGACCTCGTCCGAACTGGCTAGCAGGAAGCCTGTCCCAGCATCCAGCAGACACTGTAGATGCAGTTCAACATTCAGTCTCACTTTTTTTGCTCAATTGTTACCGTATGGGACAGAGCTCCACTTCAGGTGCTAGACGTTCCACTGACTCAACACTTATTTTGCCTGTGCGTGTATCGCAATAGGCAGAGGCTGAACAGGAAGCTGCGGAGGAAGTCGATGAGTCAAGGGGCGAAAAGAAACATGTAGGGCTAACGAGAATAAGGTCAGATAATAATTCTCACAAAAGCTGATAAAAACGAAGGCCGACCTAGCTCTGAGTTTTTTTACACATTCCTCACAGTAACTCAGCATTCGTGGATGGATGGAGGCTCTCAGAGATCTTCTCAGTTTATCTCTTTAACCCATTTAACCTATTTCATCAGAAGTCCCAAATTCTTATCTGCAAATACTTTTGTCCAGAACAGTTTCCTGGGAATTCTTAGTTTCAGTTTCATGACGAGTGCCATTCAAGATGTTGCATGCCCATTTTCTCTTTATCACGAGGGCAATCCGTTCCAACGTCCGGGAGTGTAATGAGATAAATCTAAATAAAACACCTAATCTATTTAAACATATATAAGCGCATCAGATCAGTGCCTCACTCCACCTCACTCAAGCTTGTTCAAGCATGCTTATTTCTTCCGTTATGACTGGTAAAACACGGCCCACTGACCGGCGTATGGAGTCCATGATGAAAGAGATCCAGCCCTGAGACCCATAACTGTCGGGACACACCCCGGTTTTCACCGGCAGGTTCTGGTGAATGGAGGAGTGGAGCTTTGCCAGGTCCTCTTTGCCAGGAATAGGAAGGGATAGATCCTGAAACGTTTCCACGGTGGTGGAGACCTGTCACACATTTAGAAAAACTGGATTAAAACACAGCTGTGTTCATTCAACAAACAAGGACTACACTTGAACTTCAACATTTTCAAGTGGTATTACTAACAATGAATCAAGTGGGATCAATTATGATGAATGATTCATCTTCATTCTATTTAAACCAAGTGTAATATTACTTAACCATTAAACAGGCTAGATGTTTGCTTATGAATAAATACTGCCATCTCAAACAGAACGTGTGAGTAGCCTCCCCTAGTGTCCAAAGCTGTGAAGCCATGCCTCACCCTGTCACAGGTCAAACACTGAACCAGACTGAGGATGGAGCCGTCGAAGATGTCGGAGATGACGCTACGGTAGTGAGACTGCTTCTTCTTCCTGGAACTGAGGAGCAGCTGAGCTGGAGGGCACAGAAAGGCAGGGGCCGTGTTAAAGGAAAAACCCTCAGCTGACAAAGCACTGCGAGCCCGGCTTTTCCCAGTACTGTGTTTCACTACGGTAACCACACAGACATGCCTGCGGACGCACTGCAGAATCCAGAGACTCAGACAAGTCCAAACCAAACAACTGTATGAATCAGGTTGTGTACAAAAGCCTTTTCACTAAAAGGCACACCTACGGCTACCGTGAAAACCTGAGGGAAAACAGGAGGGAGAAAAAGTGAAGCAATCTGATGAACCTGAAAACAGCATCATGTGCCTCTGACTTGTTGTGAAGTGCACCAACCTTTGCAATGCACATTCCTGAGCCAGAAGCTGCTCTGAAATACAGGAGCTTAGAAACTACATGCTATCGTTTTTTGTTTTTTTTGTCACCTTTTTGTTTGTTTGTTTGTTTGTTTGTCTTGTTTTGTTTTGTTTTTGGCTAGACCAGCAAGACAAGGCAATGAAAATAAATGAAAATTAAATGGGAAAAAAGAGGGAAAAAAAAGGATTTTGCTTCTGAAGAGGGACTGAAGAGGGTCAAACAAGATGACAAGAAGGTCGGGGCTTTGCTTCACGGGGGATCTGACCACAGTGTTGGAGGTAATCACCCATAACGAGTGAAAAAAAACCTAATCACTGAATCCTAGTCAGACGCCGACCTTTTTTGAAGGAGTACGTGGGTCCTGCGGAGCGCAGGGGGCTGGAGCGGGGCGGGCTGGAGGACAGTTTGGGGTGCAGCTCCTGAAGGGTTCGCACAGGACTGCACGGAGTGGACTGAGGCTGAGCCATCGACGCTTCATTGTCTGGCTCTAAAACAAAAAAAATACATATTACAAAACACAAACTGGAGATGAATAATCATGTATACCAGCTTCATTCAGCTTCATACTGCGGCCTCCTACCTGGAGCCGGGTTGCTCTGCTGCTGCCCTGCGTTGCAGCTCTGGTTGTTCTCTTGGGTCTGGACCTCCGTGTTTGGGCTGGGCGCGACCTCCTCTTCCTCCGGCCTGTCGGGAGCCCCAGCGTCCTCAGCGGCCGTGTCCACGTCCGCGTCCTCGTCCATTTCCTGCGAGCCCCCTCGGAGGGGCGAGCCGGACACCCTTTTCTCCTTCAGCCTCTCCTTCTCCGAGATCACCGCCGTGGAGCCGACGGCCACCGCTCCGGCGGCGGCGGGAGGCCTGACCCCGTCGCACTCGTCCTGCAAGAGCAGCTCGCCGTCGCCGGCGCCCCCCCCCTCCCCGCGGTCGCTGCTGGAGCCCGAGTCGCAGGACAGGAACTCGTCCTCGGACGGGGAGCGGTCCTCGTCCCTCCTCTCCTCTCCGTCGCTGGCCTCCCCGCTCATGCTGCACTCCGTCAGGGGCTCCTTCAGCTCTTCGTGCAGCTGGTCCATCAGACAGCGCAGGAACTCTTGCGTGTCCTGGAGCGAGAAAAAAAAATTCCACCTCAACTCAAAACACACGCGGCTGTGGCTTCATCAACAAAAGCTGGGCCTCTGAAGAGAGAGGAGGGAGCCATACATGGGTAGACGTAGTTTAAAAAAAAGCTAACAAAAGACAAGCACGTTCAAAGCATCTTTTTCGGTCCAGTTAGAATTCAAACATAAAACAAGCCCAAACATGACAACAAAGCAAATCAAATTTCGCAGGAAGTCTATGTTCTTCTTGGGTGAGGCAGCCTCCACATGTTTTCTTTCTTGTCTTAAAATCCCCCTTTGTTAAGTCTGTCCGCTTAAAATAAATTGAGGAAACTCAAAAGACTGGCGGCTATTCAGCCGGACGCAGATTCCAAAGTCCCTCTGCTAGTAAACATTAGCAACTTATATTTAATTCTGACACTAATAGCGAGCCAATGGAATTCTAGGAGAATTCATTCACGAGTAGAAATACACAAGCAGCTGTGAGACAGATGTTATTCGAAAACGATCGCATGTTGGGAACAAACATGAAGTAATACATGTGTAAAAGAAACATGGCATGAAAACAAAAAAAAGGACAATGTCCAGCTTCTCCTGAGCCAGGTGTAGTTACCTGCTGGGTGCCTACCTGCTGAGCATAACCTCGAAACATGGGGTTTACCAGTTTGATGCCGTGGGACAGGCTGGTAGGCACCACATAGCTCGGCCTGTGAGGGAAGTGGTCAAAATAGAGAAATAAACAACAACAAATTTGCACTGCGAACGTTTAAGCTGCCGCTTCCTCTCAGCGTGCTTACCTTTTCTTATGCCATAGTTCTGAGATGAGTTTCTGGTAGCTCTTGCACAGAGCCGGCTTCTTATCAGTCCGTACAAGTCCACTGCAGTCCAGGAAGAACTGGGTGAGGGGGGGGCTGGGGAAGGAGGACAGGGGAATCATAAACAAAGAGCCCTGGTAATCAGTGAAATGGAAAGGGGGAAAAGTGAACTCACCAGTTGGACAAGGCTTGAAGAGCAGCATTCATGTAGCAGGAGTTGCCAATATTTTTCATTCCTGTCAACCCTAAAGCCAAAAAAAGCAAAAGCCGTGAAGCCGTTGAGCAGTCGATGAAATGTAGAAGTAAAATGGGGGGAAAAGGTTTCAAACAAAGCAGCTTTGATCATTTTAGAATCTGTTTGAACTGTTTTTTTATCCTTATGGGTCCAATTAATGCTGAAGCTCTTCCGTAACAAATTATATTGTTTTGCATACAAATAGGTAAATATGTATATGTATGTATATGTATGTTATTCTATTATTCTGAGATAGACTCTGTGTACCTCTGGGTTTGAGCTCATCCTCTTCTGATTCTGAGCCTTCGTCTTCTGCCACAGCAATTGGTACTGCTTTTAGTGGGTGACCCCCTTGCTGGGGAGATGCATCCTTTTAAAATATGAAACGCAAATCACAAGTTAATCTTTCTGGCATGTTTGTTTTCCTTTTCTTCTGTTGTTGTTGTTTTTAATGAATCCAACCCGTAAGGAAAGCCGATGACGTGGCGAGCTGGGCTGAGCCCTCACCTGCTCTGCGGCTCTGCAGTGGTGGGCTGTAGCGGGCACAGGCACCAGGGTCGGCCTCTGGTCCAGGAACACCTCCCGCTCGCACACGTAACACCAGATCCGGAAAGTCGTCAAGTTCACCGTCAGGTTGTGCTTCTTGGCCTAAAAGGAAAAACAAAAACAACCCGTTAACTTTCATCTACTGCATGGCCCAGTAGCTGAAGATGGTGCAATGGAAAAAGAAAAAGTTTTAAAGGTGTATTTTTACCTGTGCGTGTAGCGTACTGTGATCGGAGTAGGACTCTCCACATCCAACGTATGGACACTCACTCTAAACAGCAGAAAAACTGTTTTGAGAGAGGATCTAACAGAACTGAATATTCTCATCCGTCAAAAAACACGCTGTCATGCAAGAAGAAAACTAAAATCAAATGTTCTTTCTTGCATTTTTGAGAGCGGCTATAATTCTAATTACATTTACGTGCCACGCTCATTAATTATTAAGCATTCCCCTGTCTCCCAATGTCAGCGGGTGGAGGAGAAGAGCAGTACAGGCTGCTGTTTTAGCGGTCATCCTTTATGCAACGCAAACAAGGTTTCAACATTGTTAGTGTGAAAAACAGCTGAGAGGTCCCAGCCTACCTGCAAACAGGCCCACAGGTTTGGGCCCCCGGCCCCACACGACTGACATGTCCCCTGCAAACAAAAGGTGGGCACAATTATATGTGTGCACCACGCATCTGAACTTACCCACAAACAGTATTTAATCATGCAAATGGTTTTAATAAAACATCAACACACAGGCATCAAGTGCCAGGTCTGTTGTGAAGTGTTAAAAAAAAAAACACACCTTGGATTTCTGCAGGAGGTCCTCCTTCGTTACTTCGCCTATTGAGTCCACATGGGGACAGGCATCTTGTTCTGCCATAGTTACTCACTGTTCTGACACAGGACGTCTGCTCCTTAGATAGAAAAATGAATAGTTACTTAATCAGAGGATGATGTAGCTACAGCTAGCTTCGACCCCTCAATGAAAAGCACGGTCTGCAAAGCACAGATATCCAGTAAAGCTTTCCTGTAACTGCTAGGGCAAATGTATGTAAAGTATCTACATTTCGCTTTAACTGGCTTATCACCAGAGTTCCCCCTCCCCAATATGTCCACAGAGGCCACCAGCCCAACCGAGTGACAGGCCCAATGTTTACCCATAAAAAGGCTCTGAAAAATCGGTTGGCAACGATGACAGCTCCCGTAAACGACTTGTACTTACCGCAGAAGAAAAGGAGCAGCCACGACGGTGGTGGTTATTTCCTATCTTTGGGTAAACGGCCCATGTTGACAGCGAGCAGGTGACGGTACGCTAACGAGAACAGACGCCAACCGACGTAATACAGGGACCCACCATCCTCACACAGCCCCCACCCCCATCCGCAGCGCGGCTCGGGGGAGTGACGTGAGGTGGAGGAGGCGGAGGCAGAAAGTCAGCTTCGAAGTCCAGTTTACTGGATGAAGAAGTCACATGAATAAGATAGAAATGTTAAATATTAAAATCAAAGGAATCTGTTATATGTTTTTCTTCTTAGGTAGGCTATGTGTTTTTTCTAAAACAATTTTTTTTTACAGTTGTTTTTTTCCATACGTGTATCAACAGAATTTTTACCTTTTCAAACAAAATGTATGTAGGCTATGGCGGTTTCATTCCGTTTCCATAAATGTATATATTTACGGAAGTGACGTATGCTTGCACGTTGGTTAAATGGGTCCTGTCTGTGTTGAGCTGAATTAGCGTCCAGCCACCAGCAGAGGGCGCCACATCTAAAAAATGAAATGTTACCAATTCAACAGAGCCATTTTGTATGACGCTTGTCTTGTTTGAGATATCGCAGTATGACACTGCTTCTTTATATAATTGTGAGGCTTTAAACTAATTAGTGGCCGTTGTACATTTCAAAACCTTACAATAAATCAAACTTATAAAATGTTACATGACAGGATTTTGGTTCCCTAATTCCCATACCTGTCCCTCATCATATTGACATTAACAGAATACACTGAAATCTAAACTTCTGAGGATAAAGTATCTATCCAAAGACAATTTCATAGACTTTACATACTTTTTCTGTACAGGGAAAATACTGCTAGAGTAAAAGGGAATGCTTGTAATCATCTCTAGGTTTCCAATTGAAATTTAGATTAAATCAAGCTTAAGTTTTATAGCCCCAAATCAACAGTCAACTAAACTCATCTTAAAAAAGATTAAGTCCATACAAAGCCAATCACAATAACTATCAAACAAATGTATCTCGTTTACACTGTTACCACTGTTTCAATGAAAACACAGTTGCAAACAATTTTTCAAGTCAGTAAAGAAAAAACTTTATACTTTATATATATTTTACTTTAATATTGCACATGCAATATTAAGCATCAACTTCAAGAAAGTGTAAAAGACAAGCATGACTTATTAAGTTTCCAGGTAGTTATCTTAGTACAACTGTTTTGCATAGTAATATATGGTTAACAGATTCTGGATCTGCAATTAAAGGATTGCCTGAAAGCAATTGAGTTTCTGAACATCTGACTCCAGATCAGTCCTCATAAAGACACGACTGATTCCGCAAACCTCGCGGTATTTCCTCTACCCACAATCCCTTGCCCTTCCTTTCTGCCTGAACCGACATGGTGGGTACATAGCTGATCTTTCTGAGGAAATGTTATAGTTGTTGTATCTGTTCGCATCCTCGTCTTCTTGTTAATAATCCAAATGTAGAATGTCTTGAATAAGTCTTTTGAACATTTGTGTGCATTCTGTGTTAGTATTGGAGATGGATGGGATGAAATTGACTAGTAAAATAGGGGCCAAGTGAGTGATGTGTAACCGGTAAGAGCAACGCTGCGACAACCATTGAGAAGCTAAAGCTAACCCCGTTAAGACACTGAATTAGCCACCGTTTATTATTAATTATTCTTTTAATGGTTCATTTCAGTAAACCCGGATGCTTAAATGCTCCTGAATTAAAATTCAGCGGAATTTGAATTGGTGGTTTATCACAAAATGGAGTGTTGTGTGTGGTGATTAGGCCTTAGCATGTATAAACGAAGCTAATGTTACGTTTGGCAGATATAACTAAATTACGCTTTGATATTCTTTAATTTTTTTGCGCAAGGATAATTTTGTCCAATACTTTGATGGCTCTCTAGTTTGGAGTTGGCATACTGACTGTTTTTGCTGCTGGGACTAGATTGGCTCATAGATGCATTTCAGCTAAAGCCCCATGCGTTAACTTTCTGAGATTAAGGCAGAGTTTTTGTGGGGTTATAAGGAACGGTGAAACAAATGGGAGCATTTGCAAAACATTTCCTTTTTATGTGGAGAATATTTGTAACTTCTAGGTAGTCATTTGAATTTTCCATCATTCATTTTCCAGCCTAAGGGAAAGAAGGCTAAGGGGAAGAAGGTGGCACCGGCCCCTTCCGTGGCCAAAAAACATGAAGCCAAGAAAGTGGTCAACCCCCTCTTTGAGAAGAGGCCAAAGAACTTTGGCATAGGTGAGTAGTTGCATTTTAGGTGAGCTGTTCTTTTGTGCAGATGATGTAAAGAATATTTGCTATCTTAATGACAATGATGACAATTTCCCACCAAGATCGCTGATGCACTTAAAACTGAGTAGAAAATTACAGGTTTTTATGTTTAAAATCAGAGGTATTTAACATTTGTGTCTGCTTTCTACAGGCCAGGACATTCAGCCAAAGCGTGATTTGACGCGCTTTGTGAAATGGCCTCGTTATATCCGCCTGCAGAGGCAACGTTCCATCCTCTACAAGCGTCTTAAGGTTCCCCCTGCAATCAACCAGTTCACCCAGGCTCTGGACCGCCAGACTGGTAAGATATTAAGACTTTTGATTCATCCAAAACAGTTAGGAGGCAATAAGAAAACATGAGCATTTCAATGCTGCCTTGCAGTCCAGACCCCATCATCTCTTTGCAAATGATGTGAACGAATATTTGCTATCTGATTGGTTGTGCTGACCATTCCCACCAAGATCACTGATGCAGTTCTTTTAGAAAATACTGTTGCGTCCTGTTTTGGTTGTGCAGTGTGTAATTTATTGTTTTTTCAGCCACCCAGTTGTTTAAACTGGCCCACAAGTACAGGCCAGAAACCAAGCAAGAAAAGAGGCAGAGGCTGCTGGCTCGTGCTGAGCAGAAGGCAGCTGGAAAGGGAGATACCCCTACCAAAAGGCCTCCTGTCCTCCGTGCAGGTGAGGAGTTCAGAACCTGTTTCTTTACAGCTGTTTGTTTTTTAAGTGATTCTGGTACTCTATTTAAATGGAGGTGCATGTTGGTGAACATCTCCTCTATGGCCTAAATGCAGTGATGACTTGAATTTCTTCACCTGAAACATACCTTGATGTTCTTGAGCTTTTTAACCCTGAGCATTGGCCACAATATGACTGTAAAGCTTTTTTGTTTTTTGTAGCAAATTGCTGCAGATTAGTTTTAATTTCCACTTCCTGTTGATTAAAGGTGTGAACACTGTCACTTCTCTGGTGGAGAGTAAGAAAGCCCAGCTGGTTGTCATTGCCCACGATGTGGATCCAATTGAGGTACGTTTAGTCTAATTATCAGTATTTGAGAAGCCCAGGTTACAGTGGTCACTAGCAATGATGTCTGAATTTCTTCACCTGAATCCTCTGTGTGGATCAAAACATACGAGCTTTTTAACCCTGAGCAGAGACCACAGATTCCAACAAATGCAAATGTATTGGCCAGACTTAGAAATATAAACTAGTTTAACAGCAAGTTCTTCTTCTTCCAGCTTGTTGTATTCCTGCCTGCTCTTTGCCGCAAGATGGGTGTCCCTTACTGCATCGTCAAGGGCAAGGCCAGACTGGGTCGCCTGGTCCACAGGAAGACGTGCACTTCACTCGCCATCACACAGATTAACCCGTAGGTGGAACATCATCAGAATTCTGCTGTGGCAGTGACATGTTTAACTTTTCTATTTTGAATTGTTAAGCCAATTTTCACATGTGCTTTCAGTTTTTTTTTTCCAAAATGTTTTTTTTTTTTTTTTTTACCTAGTCCTTTATCTGTAAGTGTGCTGTAAGTTTCTCTGGATAAAAGCTTTCAGTTACATACATGAAACATTGTTGAGTTAACATTAATTTGAACTGTCACAGACATGGCTGCTCTTTTTGTGGTGGACCTGCTCCATAAAAATGTTTATTTCCACAAAGTTCTGATGAACCCCTTTTGTCTGTAGTGAGGATAAAGGTGCACTTGCCAAGCTTGTGGAGGCCATCAAGACCAACTACAACGACAGATATGAAGAGGTGCGTTTTAATTGGCCATTCGCTCACATCGTCAGTGTTCAAGAAGTTTTTCCCATTGATTAAACCTCTTGAAACTCTTTTTCAGATCCGTCGTCACTGGGGAGGTGGCATCATGGGCCCCAAGTCCACAGCCCGCATCACTAAGCTGGAGAAGGCTAAGGCCAAGGAACTGGCAACCAAGCTTGGTTAAAATATTTGGAATAAAAAAACTATGTCCTAAATTTGAGTTATTTATTATTTTGCAGTGACGGCTACATGTCCCATCCATGATGTGTAGGTTTAAATATGTGGCAGGAAAAATATGTTAAAGGAAAACAAGAAAAATACCTTCTGATAGGCTTATTAACTTAGCCATTTTTCTATCATAGAAATGAGTTGGTCAGTACTGAGAGGTATACTTTATTTAGATTTGCATGAAACAAGTTCTGAATAACATTATGCTAAATGGATCAGGATTAACTCCATTTTTGGGTTTTGTCAATTTATTGACTTCAAGGTGTTTGCTGGAGTTGCACAGAGCAAATAATTGCTTGTTAATGAGAAGTGAATAGAGGAACAATCATAGTTCCAGCGGCTCACTTTCATTAACGTAAACAGAAAAGACTACTTGTCACACTGGGAGTGTGTTTTATTTACATTCATCTGCAAATATTCTGAAATGTACAACAGGCTGAAGCTGATACATAGTTGAATTTCACGTCACAGTTTAATCTTCTTGATGAACTTGGCATACCACATGTAGGTTGTGGCTGCACACAGGCCGTACCTAAAGGGAAAAATGAACCATTTGATGCATTACAGATTAGGTATTGGTTCAATACTTGTAGAATTTAATTGCCCACCTACCATGTCATTATGTACTGCATGTGTTCATTTCTCAGAGTGATTCTGGTCTGTCCACCGACTGGCCCTCCAGGAATGGTGCTCCCTGCAGGAAAGCAGACGGACAGATTGCTCTGTAGGTCTTGAAATCTCGAAATTGAATAAACCATCAGACTTAATACAGTTACACAAGGGATGTCCAAAGTCGGTCCATAGGGGCTGCAGGTTTTCAAAGTTTCCGTGCTTTAAGACACCTTATCCGCATCAGCGAGCCTTCACCGGGCTTTGAACCGATGCTTTCCATCAGAATCAGGTGTGATGAAGCAGGGAAATACCTGCAGGGCAGTGCTGCCCCCCCCCCCAGGACAGAGGTTGGACACCCCTGGGTTACAGCTTTAGTTGATTCTTCATTTTACCAAGATCAGCATCGATGAACACGGGCGTGGCCCCTGTGACCTGGGACATGGCCTCCAGGTCTCGGAAATGCCAGCGGTTTTTCTCCGGGTCGTTGTTCGGTACAAATGGTTTCCGAACCTCTGTCAGCCGGACCACTCCCACCACATCCACATCCCCTTCAACCTGCATGGAAACAGCGTGAGCACATTGATAGGGAGCAGAGGGACTCTTACAGGCAAAATTAAATGCTATAAAGTTGAGTTTATAGGGTAGTTTGTGAGGTGCCAGACTCCTAATTTAAACATATTCTTAGTCTTAAAGACGGATTAGCTCAATCTCTAAATTGCCTCATCTGAAACACTGACCTGTCCTTTCATCCTGGTCTCTGGCCTTATTTTCTGCCTGGGCACATATCCTCTGTTCACCAGGATGGTGATGCTGCAGGGACACAGACAGCGTGGATGAAGCGAGGCGCCACCGTGCCGGCGGTACCGGCGCGCGGCGGTCTGGCTGCTCACCCGAGGTCAGAGCAGTAGAACGGGGTGATGACGTTGGCGCCGGTCTCTCCGCTGGAAGAGAGGCCTCCCGCCTCCCTGGCCTCTTTCTCCGGGTCCACTCGGGAGCGGGGCAGGATGTACAGCTCTTGGGAATGGTCGTAGTGTCCGCGCACTTTCACCCTTCTGTACTCCAGCTGGTTCAGCTCATGAGGGCTAAGACAGCACCATCAGTTAGGACATTCAACGCTCCAAAAATATTCACGTCTGAAGCATTCACGTGTCCACCATTAACTCACTCCAGAGGAAGAGGAATGGGCTCTGCTGTCGTGAGCCGCCTCATGTCGTCGATTAGTTCCATTTTCCACTGACGTCTTTTCACCTTCACATAAATAACGGTGTTTTTGATTAATAAAACAAAAGTATTAGAGACGTTTATGCGACAAAAATAAAGTGGGAGGATAAGTGAATGAGCTGTACCTGCCAGGTTCCAAGGCCAAAGGTGGTGGCAGGGATGAGCAGCAGGAACCATTTGAGGAAAGAGTCCTCGCCTTTCTCTGCGCTGGCAGCGGCAGAGCTGGACAGTCGGCCAAAGCTTAGACACTTTCCTGAAATTGTCCAAATGTAAAGTGATTTTCACAGTCCTATTTTCTTTTGTTTGGAACACACAAATGAAAGGGATAATGTATACCAGAAAAACAATGGGAGCAGTAAGATCATTCCCAAATATATTCATAGTGTACAACCTGAATATAATGCATGTCATTTACATGTAGAAATAAAGTTTTACTTCCTACTTTAGAGCTTAAAGATAAGATTAATAAGCTAAATGCAACATTATAGATCCAATATCACTGATGCATCTGGTGCTAAATACTAAACCCAATTCTTTTCTTTTTTCAGGATTGTCATGCGTTCACAAAAAGGTCATTAAAATCTATTTATCTCTCACATTTCACGATGCAAATATGAATCTGTTGACATTTCAAGGCAATGTTTTAAAAATGAAAAATAAAAACCAGCGTCGAATATGTTGAAACAAACATTTCATTTACCGTCTGCACGTTTGAAGAGCCTGGGGAGGAAGAACGTCCTCTTAATGTAAATAACATGAGTCTGAAACGATATCAAATACGTTGGAATTATTTGTTAGTAGTGCAGGTCGTTCAGTCATCGAAGAGAATGACATTCACGCATGTTTGTTTTTTTACGTAAAGACAAATAAATGCCACGAATAACTTACCTGTTTCTTAAGTGTCGGAAAAAGTCTACTGGAACAAGCCACCAGTGATTTTACAGAAGCCATGTCGAATCAGTACATTAATAAAATTAGGTAAAAGTGGCTCAGACAACCTACTGCATAACAGCTATATAACTACCATGTTTCTACTCGGACTCGCCTGGGGTAGGGACAGATTTCACTGTTACTACTTCCGGTTTATCGAAGCTCCGCCCACGATATCTGTGTTTTTATCCACGTGCGTTGCAATATGAGTTGATATTTTTCACCAGTGGCGTTATAATTCCTTATGTTAGTTTAAGTCCAGTTTAAGGAGCTTTTTATAGCATGGATCTCGCCGCGAAGGACTCCTACATTCAGAAACTTGCAAGTAAAGTCTTGTCCCAGCATGAAAAGGAGCCAAAGAAGAGACCATTTGGTAATACTGTCTAGTTGAATTCACTATTTTAAGCTCTACCATGCAAATTTCTTGTATTTGGTTAAGACCAATACTGAATGAAAGTGACAATGAGTGTATGAGTTGTTGTTAAACGCGCGTAATAGTCAAAACATGGCATTAAATATGTAATGTACACCCTCAGGTCACTACTTAAGATACCATAATGCATAATGTAAAATCTATATATTAGTATCAGAATTTTTTCCTGAAATCTATCGTGTTCAATGACAAACAATGATCAGATCTTGTTTTCTTCCAGTTTGTAGACATGTCTTTTAGCATGATATGGTTCCAATCACCAAAGCAGTCACACTGTTGGAAATTATTATTGTGTGATTTTATCTTTAGTTCACTTCAAGGGTAAAAATGACACCGATCCACCAAAGAAGAAGAAGAAATGTAAAAAGAAACATATAAAAGACAAGGACAGTGACAACCGGACTTCGAAACCCCCACAGAAGAAGCCCTCGCCTTCTTCAGCAGCTCAGAAAGGTCCAAATACATTAAAACCAAATGTATCCAAAAGTGTAAATGGAGGTGCAGCACACATATCTAAAGGTAATTTCAGTAATGATCTCATATCAGGCTGTCGCTGTACGGAATATGCATTGTTCTAATTTCATTGTGTTTATCCAATAAGGAAATGATGCGGACTCCAGCTTCTCTACCGTCGATGTCCTGCGGAAGAGGCTCCTTGAGAAGATCGAAGAGTGCAGAGGGCAGGTATGAAATTTTCCCATACATGTCCCATAAGTGGTCCAAAGCAAAAGATTTGAGCTATTAGTAAGACGATACTTCTCCTTTATTCTGAGTCATATTTAAAAGTCAGACTCAACAAATCAGCTTTAATTTAATTTAGTTTTGGCTGGTCAAGCAAACTTGATAGTGGAGACACTGTTCATGCTTTCGTTGTCTAACGAATTAATTATTTGCTACTGTATTTATTATGAACGTCCGTGCTCTTTTTAAAGGGGGCCCCAAAAGATGCGTTATCAGAGGCAGTCCAGGCAAAGCGCGCTAAGCGAAAGCTGGAGCGGGAGCGCAAGAAGAGGAAGAGGAAGGAATTTCTCATGAAGAAACTGGCTGAAAAAAATGCCGAAGAGGAGCCTGTAGAAATAAAAAAAGAAGAACCATCTGCTCCTGCCGCCATCAAAAAGGTTGAGACTTCCATTGTCTTCAACAAGGTGGAGACTGTGGAGGAGGTGTATGTCGACAAAATGCTTAAAAAGAAGGAAAAAAAGCGTAGTGTGAAGGGCCAGTTAACGCCGCTGACGGGAAGAAACTACAAGCAGCTGCTCACCCGCGTAGAAGCCCGCAAAGCAAAGCTAGAAGAGCTGAGGGAGAAAGACGAGGGGAAGGCTCGTCAGCTGGAAGAGAAGATGAAATGGACCAACGTACTTTACAAGGCTGAGGGCATGAAAATCAAAGACGACGAGGACATGCTGCGAGCCTGTTTGAAGAAGAAGGAGAAAAATCGTGCGCAGAGGAAAAAGAATTGGGAACAACGTAGCGAGAAAGTCATAGAAAAGATGCAGCAAAGGCAGGACAAGAGGAAAAGAAACATCAAGAAACGCAAGGAGGGCAAGATAGAGAAGAAGAAAGATAGGGCGAGGAAGAAGGGCAGAGTGCTGCCAGAGGACTTAAAAAAAACAGCTGTTTAGAGGATTAGTTCCTCTATCGTATCTTTACTAGCACATCAGCAAAAGTGTTCCTGATGTGCGTGTGTTGTTCCAGTTCTTCCTGTACAGGACTAATATAATTTGTGTTGTAATCAATAAAAAAAAGATATCTTTCATTATGCTGGACATGTGTGGCATTTTATGTTGCGTTTTTTTGTGTTTACTAGTTGAAAAAAGAAAAAGAACTGGATGACTTGGTTGATTCATCAGCAACCTGAATAACACTGCATTCAGAGTACCACAGAAAGGGGAACTCATAACTCAGTTTCTGATTTAATGCTCAAAATTGGAATTAAAGCATGACTTCTGTGGGATTAGTTGTTCCTTCACTGTTAAGAATATACTGAACATCATAAGCAGCCATTCCTCAGACGTAAATGAAGATAGAGAAGAGAGCTGAAACAGTCCAAATTCTAAATGTGGGCCTTACACAATTGTAGAGCATGAACCATTTTGTATTCTATTCAGTGTGATGAGTAATATGCTGGCAGGATTTAATCATCTTGATTCCATCTGGTAATCTGACTTGTTTTTTGTCCTCAGGTATGTGATAGTAGAATCTCCCACAGACAAAATGCAGCACAAACGCCAAATGAGCTAACAAATAGCTATCTGGATAAGTAAATGAACGGGAAACATATGTGGCTTCTTCTGAACACAAACAAAAGCCTACCAGTGCCATGCTTATCATTTAACGTGAATTTATTTACGATTATTATTTGAGTGAGCAAGTAAACATATTTCAAATTGTTAAAACGGTGTGCTGTACGTGGGGGATTATTTTTTTGTTGGCGCAGGGATTTCCGCTTCCTGTTGTTGTTGGGGACAACCAGAGAGAGACGCATCGACGAAGCCTCTTTAACTTTATCACAAACGTATCTAAATATTAGTTCTGTGTGCTGATTTAGTATATTTATCACGAGTTTTCTCAGACGGCTGCGGTTTACGCAGAACGTCAGCGTCTGCGTGAGCTGCTCCGCCCAAACCGGAAGCAGGAATGAGAGGAGGTCAAAGGGCAACTGCGAGAACTTAAAGTCGTCGGTCACAGATTTATATTTGCGGAATAAATATGATGGCCACTGGAGTTTCAGGTGAAATCTGACGCACTTGCAAAAAAGTCTGTGCTATCTGACACGATGATCGTCCATTGATGGGTATAATCAAGAATTTGACTGGTAAAGTGCCTTTAATTCGCCAGAATCTAGTAAGAAATCAACAAAAAGTGAGTAGTTTACTAAGATATGCACGCAATGTACGTGTAAGTATGGTGATATTAAAGATGTGACTATTTTTATTTTTATATCTCAGACAATCATGTCCGGACGACTTCAAGCTCGCAGAACAGTTGGTGTTGACAAAAACGTCTGGTAAGGGATCACTGACATATTCAGCAGGAGTAAAGTCAGAATTATAAGAAAATGCATGCTTAAATAATCTGCAAATAAAGCAAAGTAGTTGTTAAAGAAGATGCACAACGATTTTATTCTATTAATATTTACTACACTTAAATGTGTAAATGGAGAAAAAAACTGATAAAAAGACAGATTGTTAATGTTTTTCAAAGAGATTTACCACTCTTTAATAAAAAATATTATATGCTTGGATTAAGTTGAAGACCCATTTGATTGGTGGAGAAAGGGGGCGGAACTGTGCTGGACCAAAGTCCTAACAATACACCAAGTTATGAAAAATGGAAAGAAAGATTGCTGCTATGCCAAATTGATACCATCTTAAAAAAGCAAATCAAATAAAGACCAGGCTCAAACATGGTGTGTTCCATTGTCTTGTAACTTGTATCTTGGCTTGGCTACTGGGGGCAGTACTTTTGTTAAAAAGGAAAGGGGAACTATCTTCTTGGCTGGTGCTTTCACCACCATCGTTCTCTTCTGTTTTATGTTGCTGCCCTCAATCATTGGGGAAAAACTTCCACATCCAAACCTTTCAGACTTTATATATTCTCAATGTAGGAATGACAGTATTTTAGTTGAATTTTTATATACGCCCAGTTTGGGTATAAACCCATCAGCATGTGGCTTCCTATATATTACATTCTGCAACTTTTTTCAGCTTTTTTCTGCTGCTTTGTAGCAACAAAAGGTTGCTACAAAAGCAGCAGAGCTGTTTGTACAATAATTAACGTCATGTTTTTACCTGTTTTGTGCTAACAGGGTTGAATTCACACAGCTGGCTGCAGACTACAAAGCAGTGAACCTTGGTCAGGGATTCCCCGATTTCTCTCCTCCAAAGTTTGTCCAGGAAGCTTTCTGTAAAGCTGTGAGTGGAGGGCCTTCAATGCACCAGTATACCAGAGGCTTTGTAAGTGGAAATACTCCCAGCGGGGCACATGGCTGTTTTTCTCTGAATATCCGAAAAACATGTATTTCTCGTTAATACAGTCAATTGTGAGTTTCGTTCTGCTTTACCTTCTGCCACAGGGCCATCCTCGTCTTGTCAAAGGTCTGGCCAAATTCTTCAGCGGGATTGTGGGACATGAGATCGATCCCTTTGAAGACATCTTGGTGACGGTTGGAGCTTATCAGGCTCTCTTCTGTGCGTTTCAGGCTCTGATCGACAAAGGGGATGAGGTACAGGAATCACATTATATGTCACAGTGTATATAAATTATCCCACACATTAATGGCAGAGTTATACCAATAGTTACGAGGTAGTTTTAGTAATTAAACAGTTGTTTTTGCTCTTCAGGTCATAATCGTCGAACCGTTCTTTGATTGCTACCAGCCGATGGTGCTGATGGCAGGAGGGACGGCAGTGTATGTACCTCTGAGACCAGTGAGCTCACCATTTTGATTATCTATCACTGTAGAATGCAGTTTGTCAACTTGGAGATGTAACTCAGAGATATGAGATTTATTCGGTCGTCTTTTGTAAATGACAGAAAGAGGGCAGCACTGTTCTGTCGAGTGGAGACTGGGTGCTTTCTGCCGAGGAGCTGGCCAGTAAAATCACTCCAAACACAAAAGCCATCGTTTTTAACACTCCCAACAACCCATTGGGAAAGGTAAGATTAGTGTTTAAACATGCTCGAGTGCGCATAAAAATCACTTTTGAAAATTGACTGATTCATTTATTCTAACGAGGGATTTCCTTTCGCAGGTTTTCAAGATGGAGGAACTCCAAATGATTGCCGACCTGTGCATCAAACATGATCTGCTGTGCTTCTGCGACGAGGTGTACGAGTGGCTCACCTACGATGGAGCCAAACATGTAAAGATAGGTGAGACGCAGCCGGAGCCGAGCTGAGACTGAACACACCAATCAGAGTCAGAATCAGATTAACCGATGCGGTGTTTCACTGACAGCCAGCCTCCCCGGCATGTGGGAGCGAACCATCACAGTCGGCAGCGGTGGAAAGACTTTTAGTGCCACTGGCTGGAAGGTAACGCACATGTCTGAATCATTTGTGTGACACACTGTTCCTGTGATGTCATTTACTGATTGTTATCATTGTTGTTACTGTTTCAGGTTGGCTGGGCCATGGGCTCTGGAAGTCTAATTAAACACATGAAAATCATCCATCAGAACTCTGTTTATCACTGTGCAACAGCTGCACAGGTATTTCCAAGACCAAACCGTTCTTTTATGTTTAACCTCACACAGTCAGTAAAGAATAAGCAGAAATCCACGTCTTTTTCTGATTGTTCAAAACTGTTGTAAGTAAGAGGCAAGACACCCAATTGAAAACAAGTGAAAACTAATTCTGTATAAATTTGTGATTATTAAAAATTTTGAATTACTTTAAAATTCACTTTTAGAGGTGACTGAAGATAGTTAGCACATTAATTGCTGACATTACAGAGTGTCAAGACTTGTAGAAATGTTGATGTTCTGTTGTTTTTCTTTGTAACCTTATAATTTTTCCAATCAAGTCTTGTACATCTAACACCAAATCACACCCCTTGGAAGTTTTATGGGTGCCTTTTAGGTCTTCTAACCCACCTCTCTTCTTCAGGAGGCAGTAGCTCAGGGATTCGAAAGGGAGCACGAGCTGTTCGGGACTCCAGAGAGCTACTTCCAGCAGCTGCCTGCAATGCTGCAAAACAAGAGACTGAAGCTGGCCTCGTGTCTGCAGAGCGTGGGTTTGCAGCCCATCATGCCAGAGGGGGGATATTTTATGATCGCAGACATCTCCTCAGTTAGTGAGTGAAGAGTTGGCTTTCCTTTGTCGCCCATTCTTGTGTTTCTTCACATGTTTAGATCCACTCTGAGCTCAGCTTTCTCTCTGTTTTTCATGTTTTAACAGAAGTGGACCTGAGTGATGAGAGCACCAAGAATGAATCCTATGACTTCAGATTTGTAAAATGGCTAATTAAAGAGAAAGTAATTACATTTACAATTACTTTGGGGGAAAAATGTTTATCTTTTTTTTTTTTTTTTTTACTTTGTATATTCTGTTTTCCTGCAGGGTTTAGCAACAATCCCTGTGTCCGCGTTCTTCAGTGCAGAACACAGCAAGGACTTTGACAAATACATCCGCTTCTGCTTTGTAAAGGTAAAATTTGCAAAAATGTCTCTGTGTGTTCCAGTCCCTCTTCATTCAACTTTTTTCTTCTGTCAAACAGGAGGACTCCACACTGGATGCAGCAGAGGACATCCTGAGAAAGTGGAGTCAAAGAGAGTAAAACTACCCATCCATCTGTATTTTACAGGCTGCTTAAAATGGTTTAATCTCAGACCTGAGAAAAGCTATTTCAGTGTTTTTTCTTTGGTGTCGTGTTTGTCCCTGTAGTTGATAATGCAACTCAAACCAACTTCCATCCATCAAGGAATTCTGATGATCGACTATATTTCTCAGGAAATACAAATATAATGCACATGTGATTAAGTTTGATTATAAATGTGTGTCCCATCCTCATTACAAGAGTATTTGTTGAGATCAAAATATGCAAAAAGTTTAATAATAAACTTTAAGTAAACTTTCCCTTTGTGTTTATCAGAGTCCTAATTTCTTCTTTCCTGCTGAAGGATTAAGCCTCTTGGGTTCCGAGATGAACCGTGAAACAAAGAGTATTTGTTTCACAATTTGATTTTACAATCTGACACCATAATTTACTAAATCTAAATAAAACCAGTTCCAGTGATCCCATTAACATAATAAACTTTTTTCCCCATCATCGTTAAATTGAATTTATATCCCTCTTTCTTATAAATATCAAGTGATTTCACAGGTGTTTGGTTATTAAGTCTGGAAAATCCATTCATCCATTTTTGGATGATTACAGTCAGGAATTATATATGTGTGTCTGTGTGTGTATCAGGATTCATATGATTGCTGATGTTCATTCTCTGTAGTTTGTGTGTCAGATGAAAAGATCATTGGAAGCTGCTGGGGACCCTCTTATCAGAATTCTAGTTTTAGATTATAAAGAGGATTTTTGGACTTTTACACTTGGAGTGTACTGGTACTTTGATTCTGAAAAGCGGAAGTAGATAGTAGATACCAGGAAGTAAATACAACTCACGTGTTTGTACGTGCAACAATGTCCACCGACGGGGCTGCGAAGAAACACAAACCTGTGTCCACTCAGGTAGTTTTGTGTCAATGTTTGTCACGTTTGGTCAGTGAACCTGCATCCAGCACTTTTTAAATATTTTTTAAATCATTTTAATGTTTACAGGCCGAAGAGGGTGTCCGCTGGAAGAAAAGAAAAGCAGAATGTAAGTACATGCTCAGCTACACCCAGCTAACAGCTAATCCACTCAGTATATACATACTGCATAAAAGGCTACTGTTCAACAACTCTTAAAAAAATCTATGGTATGTATATGTTTAAAATGTATTAGATATATTATGGGCACAGAGTTCAGATTTTCGTGTATGTATATCCAAACTGAATAAAGAGTTTTGACACTACAGGCCAAAAATATGTTGGATCCTTATTGTGGTTAAGAATTAAAAATATTTAAAACAGCAGACATACTTATTCATTTACTATAATGTAGTTAGCTATTAATGATTAGTTAAAAGACAGGCCACAGCTATTCATCAAACAGGGTTTGAGTCAGTGGTCCAGTTCCTCCATTCGTGATGTAGATGGTTTGGTAGAGAGGTGAAGAAAACTGCAAGGTGACGTGCTTTGTAACTGTGCAGAGCAGTCTTCACATGGTCAATAACTGTTCCTCATTAACAGTGAAAGAGAAAAATAAGCAATGGAAAAAGGCCAAAGTCCTCAAACAATTGGAAAAGAAGAAACAGGAAGAGGCCACGGGGAACGCGGTGACCGAGGAAAACCAGAGCAAAAAAGGTAAGAGTGCCGTCCTTTTCAGGGGGGTTGTGAGCTTGTGTTGACGTGAGCTGGAATGAGCAGCCTGTGTGTCTCAGGTCGGGCTTACACGGTGAGCGTGGCTCTGCCCGGCTCTGTGCTGGACAACGCTCAGTCCCCCGAGCTCCGGACCTACCTGGCCGGTCAGATCGCTCGAGCCTGTGTGGTGTTCTGCGTGGATGAGATCGTTGTTTTTGACGAGCAGGGAGAAAACGTCAAGTAAGTTACCAGTGAAGCACAACCATAGGATAAACAGTCTTCAAGCTATCAGATAGATACCAGGGACATATATTTGTTTTGTTTCCACAGGAGTGTTGAAGGGGAATTTAAAGGTGTCGGGAAGAAGGGCCAGGCCTGCATTCAGCTGGCCAGAATCCTTCAGTATGTGGAATGTCCACAGTGAGTAGGATCTGCTCTGTGTGTGTGTCACAGCTGGGTTTCACCAAATCCTGATTAAATCTCATCCTCTCCAACAGGTATCTGCGCAAGTGGTTTTTCCCAATGCACAAAGATTTGCAGTATGCAGGTAATTCAGTTTCACGCATCCTTTTGGCACAACAATTCCTCAGTTCTGATTATGTGAAACCTTTCGGTGATAAACCATGTCGATGTAGCGATGTTATACTTCTGAGAAACGTTAAAATGGACCTAGTCGCTCTTCGTAAGCTCTACTGTCCCATCAACTGTCAAGTTTTTTTTTATTTTCTTTCTTGTGTCAAGCACTATTCATCCTGCCCAATAAAGAGGGTGCTGTTCAAAGGCCATATCTGCATATATTAAATCAAGTAAAAAGCTTGTGTTTTGTTCGCAAGGTTTGCTCAACCCGCTGGACAGCCCTCATCACATGAGGATCGACGAAGAGTCCGAGTACCGGGAAGGAATAGTCCTCAACAAGCCGCCCAAACAAGGGAAAGGCTCATTTGTCAACTGTGGGATGAGGAAGGTGGGCACTGGTCTACAGAGAGCATCGCCGAGTGGTCTGATTTTTAGCAGAACATACGCTTAATGTGTCCATCTGCCCCCACAGGATGTCCGCATCGACAAGCAGCTACAGGCTGGACTGCGGGTCACGGTGCAGCTCAATAAGACTCAGAACCAAGGTCAGTATCTCTCTGTCAGTGTCTCCTTTTCCTGGTTTTTAAGTCGCAACCAGTTCATCCTGAGTCCTTTCGTCCCAGCAGACTGCAGACTGTACAAAGGCGTCGCCGTGGCTCCGCATGTGCCGAGGACCGAGGGCGGCCTTTACTGGGGGTACACGGTCCGCCTGGCGTCTTGTCTCAGTAAGCCTCCGCCCCACACTCCACCCCCACGGCTCTGAGCGCTCCGCTTTGGGTTGTGGCCCTGCTTCAGTCCTGTGTGCATCTGCACAGCTTCTTAACTCATTGACTGCCAGCCACTTTCAGAACAGAGAGTCCCATACTGCCAGAGTTTTTTGAGCGTTTTGACTGATTTTTCAAGAGCCACAGAATAGTTTGTGCTATGACTATGTAAACACCGAACACACCAAAAGAAAGAGTAGACTATCTTCTTTAATCAGGAAACATTTTTTGTTTCTACCTTATTCCGTTCTTCCTCGACTTGCGTCTCACCGGCGACATGTCGTCTCATAGCGAACCTTTTTCTTATTCGCCTACAATCTATGCTCATCTCCCATCAAAAGTGGCACTGCCACATAGAGGGTCGATTTGTTAGTACATACTCTGTCTAGAAGCCTGATATTTACGGACAAGCTTTAGCAGATCGTCCCCCAAGCCACTCTCGTTGAAAAACATAAAAGACGTCTATAGACGTCTTTGGCAGTCAACGGTTGTATTTGAATTGACGTCTATAGACGTCTTTGGCAGCCAATGTGTTAACTGTCATTGCTCTTGGTGAACACAGGCTCGGTTTTCACCGAGAGTCCCTACAAAGACGGATACGATCTGACCGTCGGCACCTCAGAGAAAGGCAGCAGCCTGGACAACGCAGCAGTGACACCGTTCAAGTAGGTCAACAGCCGTTTAGATGAGGTCTTTGTCCTGTTAGCATCGCCATGCTTAGCATGAAGAACTGAGGGGAAAATGTTCTCGTCTGCAGACATCTGTTGGTGGTTTTTGGAGGTCTTCACGGTTTGGAGGCCAGCGTAGATGCTGACCAGAACCTGGAGGTGACTGACCCCAGCGTTCTGTTTGACCTTTACCTGAACACGTGCCCCGCCCAGGGCAGCCGGACCATTCGAACCGAGGTGAGCGCCGGGCCGCCTCCGTCTTAAAATCCTGAAGCCGTCTGTGCACTAATGGGCTCATTTCTCCCCTCACGTCCACAGGAGGCCATCCTTATTTCTATGGCAGGGCTGAGACCAAAGATCACAGCGGCTTTTTCGGATGCGGCCACCGGCTCATTACAGAATTAGCTGTGTGGGCAAAGTAAACCAGCTCCGACAAAGAATTCCTCAGACAAATGTATACCATCGTCATTTGGTTGTTTATTGTTGTTTTTTGGCTGTGCCTGAAGAGTTACAGCGGACCACAGTGTTTGGAAATGTTACCCATTCTTGACTCTTTTGCTTGTTTCTAAATGACTCATGAAATAGTACACATTTAAATACAGATATTCATGCTTAAACTTACCTAGATTGTTGTTTTATTTAAAGCACATAAACAGTCTTTCATAAACTAAAGAATCCCTTTAAGATTTGTGGGAAAACTGCACTTCTGAACTCTAGATAAATGAGACAGTAATTCAGACACGTCGTCGTTAAGAGGAAAGTGGTTTTTAACAACTGGGATATTTTCTCTTCAGACTGTAGTTTTATCAGTTTGCAGTGAGCAGGAATCCAGCTTCTGCCCTTAAATTGGTGCCTCGTTTTCTCTGTTGCCATTAAATGGGCCGCGCAGAGTTATCTGAGCGGTTTCATGAAAACTAATCCCTTCTATTCCCATCTATTAAAACAGCCCTGGGAGAACTTGTAGATTGCACTTTAACTGATACTGGACATAATATTTATATAGTTCTAGAAAAAAAAGCCAATTACATTTCCATAGGAACGACAGGTATTTTAATCATGTATTTATTCCTTTTTAATTCTGACAAATAATATAATAGAATTACACTGTTCAGGGCGCTGATCTAACTAATGAAGTGCACTGAGAAGAGCCTCTGTTGAACACAAATACTCTTAATGATAATCTCTAAGAACAGAATGCCTGAAAAAGGCAACATGGTTCCCAAAAAATGTGTATCTGTCCAACTTTCCCCTTCAATCTGTGCAGTCCGAAGATCAAGGTACCAATGCATGATAGGATCTCGATACATTCTGCGAACGACTCGAAAAAGCATGCACGGATACTAAGCTGAGATAAAAAAGCTTCAACTGCAGTTTGATAATGACGTAGCGGTGGATTAAAATGACACGACCAGATGTGCTGCCGCCAGATTTTACAATGCTTTCAAAATTCTACTGCTCTGTAAGGCCCCAGGATGGACTGCTGCTTATTGGCTGGATTGGTTATTTGTTGGCTCTGTAGAACATGTGTGCTTTGCGTGGACAAAAACAACTCTTTTTTTTTTTTTTTTTTTAAACCCCCGTTTGGTAGGCCACTCTTATCTGATTACAGGTGTTTGCTGAAGACTCATCTCCAGCATGAATACATACTAAAATATAAAGATGTAGAAAACCTTAATACTTTGCTTTTTTCTATGTACAAACACATTTACAGACGTTTCCCACGAGTCAGTGCGTTCAAAAAGGCTCAACATCACTTGTCCTGCTTCAGGTTTTTCCAAGGGCTTCTTTACCTGAAAGACGGGCCTTGAAAACGGCCGCCGTTCATTTCTAAAGTCTAACTTTTGGAAGTCACATCGAATGCCGCCCTGTGTGTGTTTGTTCAGGCTTGTGTGAGTGCGGAGAGCCGGCTGTTTTTTCCCCACGTGTCCTCTCACCATTTGGGGTGAGTGAATGTGATGTTGTAGAGCTTTGCCCAGCGTGCGAACACCTGCTTCTCGGTGATGAAGCGGTGGTGGTTTCCCCTTCGTCCGCTCTCATTCTGGATGTACATCTGACACTCGTCCGGCCCCCTGGGTTTGTAGTAGTGGTACGGCATCTTCTTGGGTCCGGGTTTTTTTCTGGGCAATAAACGACTTTAATATGATTAGTTCAGAGTTAGGTTAAGAACTCCTTTTTTGGAGTTGGAATCATGGGCTGACATGCTGTGAAGCGTTATCAGACTCACCCACAGTAGCTTGGTGGAACCATCCCATACACTTTAATGTTATCACACATCTCGATGGCTATGACCATGGTGAACCAGCCCGTGCTCAACCATGAGTGGGACTTTTGTCTGAGTAGACAAAAACAACAACATGGAGCCAGAGTTTACATATGTGAAAAGATGGGATGGTGACAGATGGCTCCTTTAAAAACTCACCTGTCTCGTCCGGTCTCTCTATAAAACAGGTTATCAAATTTGCGCATCTTGTTTGCCGCGATGCTGAAAAAGGATAGGTTGCTGTAGGTCATGCTGACTCTCTGGATGAATCTGTACAAAGTTCCTTTGGCCTCCTTCCCGAGCTTGTTCGGGGGCCCCCAGAATATGATGGTGGAGTTGCCGTCTGTCTGGTGCAGAAACTCGTTGGGCCTCCGCACCACCCTGAACACGCTGGCGTGGGCCACCACCCTCACGGTGGTCCGGTTCCCGATGTCGGATTCGTACCCCAAAGTGGGCGCGTCGTTCATGCGGATCACGCACTCGGTCTGGTCGATCTCGCTCCCCGCTTGGCTACTCAGGACGTGGCTGGAGCTGGTCACCAAGGCGCAGTCGCGACAGTGCAGAGTCATGCTCTGAAAAGGAGGCAAGACAGGAAGTCAGCAGTGCTCAGAGCCTCCATTTTGTGAGAGTTAGATAGTAAAGGAAGTGGGAAAAAAATGTAAATAAATCTGTCAGTCTATTCTAGTCAGTTAACATACAATAAGGGCTGACATTCATTGTCTTCTGAGTTTATATATGCACACATATACATGTATATATACACACATTCATAAATGGCCTATCTGTAAAACTCCTCTGAGTGCAGCTTTAGAACTAAAGGGACAAATGAAGGTTCCTCTCCAGAAGGAGTACTCTCTTTCTGGAAAATATAATTCCTGTCGTGACAAAATGATCCCAACACAGGAGGAGGAAGGTCACTCAGATGAACTGACTGTTGGGTTTTGGCAAACCTGCTCAAGGAGCTGAACAGAGCCAGTCAAAGGTTAGAAAATGTCAGTACTTTCCCCGTTTCTGTCCCCCGGCTGTAATTTGGTTCAAACATTCAGCTCCTAAGAGGACACGTTTTTAGAAAATCACTCCCTGCACGCACACAGATGGTTGTTTACGCAACACCTCTAAGAAGATAAGCGTTGCTCATTATGCTTCATCTGTTCGGTCGTGCATCTGGAAGGGGGCTCATTTATAACCCAGTGATTTTGCGTAAAGCAAGGACGTTAATGTAGAAGCCTACACACAATACCAGCCTGACTAAAAGACGGTGAGGCGGCTGGGAAAGGTCAGCTTACAAGCTTATCGCCGCTCATTTGGATCAACAGAATATGAGCGTTACAGCGGTTGTGTCTTCTCTACATCTCCACAAATATTTACAGGAACACGTTTCACATATAGATTTGTTCAAAGGTTCTTTCCCACCCGCTTTTTTAAGGCAGCTTGTTTCAGTTTGGTGTGCAGCTTACTTTGTTGCCGTGGAAGGGAACGTATCCGTCTCTCCCGGCCCACCTCTTGAGGTCGGTAGGCTTCATGATGTTATGCGCTGCCACGTGGAAGGGAGTGTGGATGCTCTCGTTGACATTGTTGGAGCCGTAGAGGATGAGGAGTGTCATCAGGACGAAGATGGCAGCAAAGATCACCATCTTGTGGCCCTGCTGGCTCTGTCATTTATAATTCAAGACGGTAGGTATCTAATTAACCATCAACATGAAGTACTGAACCCATCAAATACACTCTTATACAGTCCGCTAAAGAGGAAAAGGAACATCTAAGATTGTTATCAGTGCAAAAATGATCAAAACAGAGCCTCTGTGACGACATGGGTTGTTAATGCTCATGGTGTGGGTAGCCTGCACATCTATGAGAGCCCCATTTATATGAAACACTATTTTAAAGCATCATTTTAAGGGACGCTCTTGCTGATTTCAGCAGTACAATGCCAAGCCGCATTCTGCATTAGGGCGCCAGCATCTAGATCAATCTCCCACTGAAAATATGGGTTGATTTATGGAGCACAGAAACCAACCGCAGAGGTTCACACTGGTTTGAGGCACTCATGGATGCTGGGTGGATGCTGAGCTTTGTGATCAGTGATAGATAGAATATAACGGGTCTCTGTGCCACACCCTGCCCTGGTTCTGTGTTCCTTACCTTGCCATTGAGCCGGGGCCCCATGTTCCTGGTCAGTACCGACACACGGCCTGTGGCTATCTGTCATCATACCTAACAGGAAGCATACGTATTAACAACAGTTCATTTACTGGCGTGTCACAACACCTAGTGGTCTGTTTATATTTATATTTAATAGCGGATTTAGCTGGCGGGGGATACTAAAGTGAAAGCTTGGTGTTTTTCTTAATCTCGCCGGTGCCAAACCTCGCTGACATTTAAGAGCAGCGGGATGTAAACATTTGGGAAGAAACACCATCTTGCGCCCCCCCGGCCGACCGTTAGCCTGCCGCGGAAACCTGCGTTTCCTCTAATAAAAATAAAAAACGCCATCCAGCTGACGTCACTCAGATGAGAACAAACACCCGCACGCGAGTGAGCGCGTTAAACGACTCCGACGTGGAGCCTGGCTTACCTTGTCATGGTGCTGGCGGAGTATGTCTGATGTACCCCTCATCTTTAGCGTTGCCCCGTCTTCCTGCGCCACTTGCTGACGTCATCGCGGCGCTCCTCGCTGCAGCGGCGCGCGGAGAGTTGAGGTTCCAACTTTGCTGCGCTCGTGACCCCCCTCGTGCGTCTTAGTGCTACGACAAAGATAACCCCGCGTGATGGCATTAAGAATGATGTTTATACGGCACTTTTTCGTGTTCTGAGGAGGAAACTAGTTTTTGCAACAAGTGCGAAACCAATGATGCTAAAAAAAATCTAAAATAAACTTTTGAGGACATAGTTGATGCCTTGTTCCACCCCGGGGGGAAGGAAGTTTGCTCCGGCGAAGGAAAGCTGGTAGGAAACCCGGGGAGGGGAGAACAACAACAACACACCCCGACATGGAGGACTCGGGCTCGGCCCTGGAGAAGAACGTGGCCGACCTCACGGTGATGGACGTGTACGACATCGCCGCGGTGGTGGGGCAGGAGTTTGAACGCATCATCGACCAGTACGGCTGCGAGGCTCTGTCCAGGCTGATGCCCAAAGTGGTGCGGGTCCTGGAGATCCTGGAGGTGATGGTGAGCCGCAGCAGCATCAGCCCGGACACCGAGGAGCTGCGGCTGGAGCTGGCCCGGCTGCGCCTGGAGCGGATGGACCGGCTGGAGAAGGACAAGAAGCACCGGCAGGTCTCTGACAACCGGCTGTCCGTGTTAGGGCTGCACACTAAAGCATGCTGCGAAGGTTTTCAGGCACAAAGAACACAGAAAAAAATCCAAATATGACTAAAACAATCTCTGGAAATGTATTATAAGTAATCCCACTTGCAACAGTCATTAAAAAAGGCATTTTAATGAGGAAAAGCTTAGATATATCATTAAAAGCTAAGTTGCATTGTTTTTTATTCATTCAAGTGAGGACACCAACACAATATATAAAATGATAATAAGCACAAATTGAAAGTATTCACAGCCGTGAGTGGAGTAAAACGTGCACTTTTGATCGGAAGATGCTCCGACGGGGCTCTGAAGGCCCCCTGACCTCTGCCTTGCAGGTATCCCAGCAGATGTTCTTCTCGGCCATTGGGAGCGATTTCGGGACCTCTTCGTGAGGTAGGTGGCCTCAAAACGCAAAATGGAGTACAAATGTTGTACCGAACGTCTTTAATTTGCCGTTGTGTTGTCTTTTGCAGCCTCAGGCAGTTCTTCGACAGAGCCAGAGAGATGGAGTTCTTTAAAAGCGTCATCCAGATCCCAGACCTCCCAGATGTAAATGACACCGCCGGGGTTTCTGTAGACTTAGACTTAGACTTAGAATTTCTTTATTGTCATTGTACAAAAAACACAAGGTGAATCTTGACAACGAAATGTCGATTACTTGGCTACTAGTGTGACAGAGCTGAGACCTTATTCCTACTTAATAAATATGTTTTCTATAACTTAGAGCTGGATATATACAGGGTAAGAGCATACAGTGGGGGAAATAAGTATTTGACCCCTTGCTGATTTTGCAGGTTTGCCCACTTACAAAGAATGCAACGATCTATACCTTTAATCATATGCACATTCTAACAGTGAAAGACAGAATCCCAAAGAAAATTCCAGAAAATCACATCATATGAATTTATAAAAATTGATAACCATCTGATGAGGAAAAATAAGCATTCTTTGTAAGTGGGCAAACCTGCAAAATCAGCAAGGGGTCAAATACTTATTTCCCCCACTGTATATATACATATTATTGCACAGAGTTGTTACAAAAGAAACATCAATGAATATTGCAATATTGAGTTGATTGCAAAAAGAAACAATTGAGTTGAAGATAAAGCTAAACTAAGGTGCGTGTATTGTCCATGTCCATGGGGGGAGGTTTTAGTGTGTGGGGAAGGACGTAGCTCCTCCCACAGCTGAATACGCTCATTAAAAGAGTCTCTCCTCGTATGTTCTCTTCACCCGATCGCCACAGGCTCCACCAAACTTCCTCCGAGCTGCCGCCTTGGCCGAGTACAAAAAGCCGGTGGTGGTGATGCCCAGTGAAGACCGCGAGGAGGAGGAGGAAGTGGAGCCCCAGCCGGAGTTCAGAGAGGCACCTCAGATGCCACAGGTGCGCCTAAAATCAAATGGAACGGTCCCTTTTGAGTGTGATCCCTGCTTACAGTAAGATCTTTCTCCTGGCAGTACTATTTGCTCAGCCAAATGGGAGTTCCTGAAGCCCCTCTGGAGCAGAGAGACACCGAGAATGTGAATTTGAAGAGGGAACTCGAGGTGTTGAAACCAGAGCTGCAGCTCATCAAGAGTGAGGTGAGGCGTGACTTTCTTTCTCTGCTGTAATCTAACCAGATTTTTCACAGAAAAACAAATAGCAAAGCTGCTCCCTCAAGCAGCCGGAGCTAATCATCCAGATTCTGGTAGATTTCTGAGCTTCGTCACCCATCAATGCGACTCCATTCTGTCAAATTTTAAAAGAAATTCTCCAAACATCCGTGCTAGAATTGTGTTTTTCTGGAGTTTAAAGCCTTGAATCTCCTCTTTCCCAGGCTCAGAGGTGTGTGACCGAGTTAAAGGCTCAAGTGAACCGCCTGGAAGCGGAGGTGGACGAGCAGCGCACCCACAAGCAGGTGGCCATGGTGGAAAATGAGCACCTGAGGATGGAGGTGGAGGCTTTGCGCAGCACCAACGTGGCCAACGTCGGCGCCCAGATCGGATTTAAGGAGGCCGACAGTGAGTCTGTGGGTTTTTCTGTGCCAGTGAAAACACCCAAACAAAGGCAGATAAACAGCACTAAGTGTGTTTTTATTCTCCCTCCGTGCAGGCAGAGCTCAGGCTGCAGAGATCAGATTCAGTCAACTCAAAGAGAGACACGCAGAGCTGGTTACCAGCCACGCGGATCTAATGAAGAAGGCAAGTCTCACCCAAAACACTCAGTTTGGTCTGAATTTGAATGAAAGTAAGATGGAAATTGTGGCATTTAGGAGTTAAGAGGTTTTAATTCACAGGTTTGCCAAAAATGTGAGTCAGATTTTTAACAGAACATCTCATTTTGAGAAACGGATTAGTTTAGTTGTCAAAACTACATTGTCCATCATAGTCCGACCAATTTAAATTTATCTTATAAGTATCTTGAAAAAATCCACCTCTTAACTGGAACCAGCAAACGTTATCAAAAAGCCTCAGTTTTAGCATCTCTCCACTGACGTTCCGTCCATTATTAGAGCCAAGATTTAATTTGAGTTTTTGAGGTTTTGAATTGGCTGATGCCTTTAAAATTGTGTGATCTTTTGCATCAGTGTAAACATCAGGTAGAGTGATCAGATCGTCCAGTCAGAGGGTCCTTTCAGTCCTCTGGTTCAGACTCAAACTAGGGATGACTTTGTACAGGTTTGATCCAGAAAATGGGACCAACTACTGACATACAAGAGCATCTCAAACTGCTGATACTTGTAAAACTCTTGGCATCATAATATATGGCTACACGTTATTTTTGTGTTTTTGGAGCGTTTGTCTGGGCTGAATTGACGTGTGAAGCACTTTAGTGAACTTTGGCCATTTTTCAAATGCTCAAATTCCTTTGACTTTGGGTTTTCGTGTTGTGGTGCAGAACTCGGAGACGGTGAAGAGTTTGACTAACTCAAAACTGCATCAGGACGACCTGCTGAGAGCCAAGCAGCAGCTGCAGAACGAGCTGGAGAATCTGCGGCAGGAGCAGAGGAACATGGTGAGCCCTCTGCAGGAAAACGACCCCCCGAGTTTCCCCTTCTCCACTGTGCGCACTCCTCTCTTCCCCCTCCTCCAATCAGATGAACCTCCAGCAGCATGAGGCCGACCGGCTGAACAGAGAGCTCCTGGAGCAAAGGGCGGAACTGGCTCTGCTCCGCAGCACTCTGGACAGCAAAGAGAAGGTAAAACCACACCTAAAGGACAAGAAGAGGCAAAAAGGGCCTGTGTTTTTTCAGGTTTCAAGCTGTCTGGGGGGAGGGATCATGGTATTTTTATTTATTTATTTATTTATTTGATTTATTTATTTATTTATTTAATCAGGACAGTGCACATTAATGAACAATCTCATACAGATTGTAAATGAGCCAGATTATAGCATAGTTGCTAGTTTACATCTGTCGTCCTGAGGCAGGAAGACCAAACAACACAAAATCACAAAATACAAAATCAGTCCAAACACACGTTTAGACAATGACATTACAAAATTAAAATGAATTCAATTCAATTCAATTTTATTTATATAGCGCCACATCACAACAACAGTTGTCTCACAGCGCTTTTCCAAACAGAGCAGGTCAGACCTACTCTGAAGTTAACTACAGAAACCCAACAATTCCCACCATGAGCAAGCACTAGGCAACACAGGCAAGGAAAAACTTCCTCTTAACAGGCAGAAACCTCGAGCAGAACCATGGCTCAGGGTGGGCGGCCAAATGTATCATATCTGATACATACGGTTTCTGAGGTCTTTTGGATCTGAGACTTTTTGCATCATTCAATGGTAAAAGCTGGTAAATGGTAAAAGGCAGAGGAAGCTAATCACCAGAATATGTCTGCAGGAGGGGTCCCAGGCGAGCAGCAGCCTGGCGGCTCTGCAGGCGGAGCGGGAAGTCCTGCTGCGCTCGGCCAGGGAGCAGGAGGCGGAGCTTTCCTCCCTCAGGCAGCAGGCCCAGCAGCAGCATAGCTCCCTGGACCTGGAGCGGGACCGGATGGGCCGGGAGCTGGAGGCGCTGCGGGCACAGCTGCAGCAGCAGGTACCAGCGGAGGACAGATCCACCACGGGTCCAAACGGGGGAGCCGAGCTTTGGTGGGAGGGATCAGACGGGCTATGTGGGGAGATATCCACTCAAGAGTGACTTTTGGCTTCACATAAAACAAGAGACCCAACCAAGACTAACCAAAGGAATGAAATGTTTGTTGGCCAATTAGTCTGGTCTAAAAAACAAAAAAAGGAAAGAGACAGACTCTTCTTGCATCTTTGATTCTTTTCTGAATTAACACATTTAGTTCTAGTTAAATAATTGTTAATGAAGATATTTTGTTGGAACTTTTAAATTAAAATATCTGGATATCTGAAGGCTTTATTTCCTCTTTAGAGCACTTATAGTTGTTTGTTCTCTCCCCTGAGAACAAAGTCCCCCATCCTCCACCATTTGTTTCTGCCTTCATCAGCTTTTTGATGGACACTTCAGAAGCAATTCATAAACCAAAGCGATCTGTGTTTATCTGATCTAGAGTTTTATTTTCTATTCTAATGAGAAAATCTCAAAGCATCCACACAAGATCATCACACAAGTGCCAAAAATCGTGTTACTGCCGAGAAACGAGGCTGTAAAGTGATCTTCTTGGTTTATGAATCGCTCTTCATCCAACTTGTCATCATGTACCATGTTCTGACCGCCTTCTTTCCCTCGTTTCGCTGTTTATTTCTGCAGCTTGCCATCAACGCGGACCAGAAGCTGGAGATCGACAGGCTGAGACGGGACCTGGACTCGACGCGGGCCGAGCTGACGCGGGCCAACGGCCTTCTGCAAAGCCGAGAAATGGTCGGTCTACGTCCTGAACCTTTCCCCCCGTCCCCTTTGGGGTAAAATCCCCGGCCCTAACCGGTCTACGCCTTTCTTCCCCCCTCAGAGCGGCACCCAGCTGAACAACTCTCTGGCGGCGGTGCAGGCGGAGAGGGAGCGGCTGCAGCGGGCCGTGCAGCAGCAGGAGGCCGAGCTGGCCTCCCTCCGGCAGCAGGCCCGGCTCCAGCAGAGCGCCCTGGAGCAGGAGAGGCAGCGCAGCAGCCTGGAGCTGGGAAACATGCACGCACAGCTGCAGCAGCAAGTGGCGTAAAACCTCCCGAGGCGCCGTGGGGATGGGGATCGTTAATATTTATTGATATCGACACCTTTATCCAGGAGTGTCCAACTCCGGTCCTCGAGGGCCACTGTCCTGCAGGTTTTAGAGGTTTCCCTGCTTCAGCACACCTGATTCTGATGAAGTGGATCAGTTCCAAGGCTCTGCACAAGTCTGATAATCGCACACACATGGGAATCAGGTATGTTGAAGCTGGGAGACTTCTAAAACCTGCAGGACAGCGGCCCTTGAGGACCGACTATGGACACCCCTGCGGCTTTATCGATACTCCTTATCGATCTGAGTCTTTATCGATACTTTTCTGTTATTTGGTGGTTAATATTTATTGATATTGATACCTTTATCGATACTCCTTATTGATCCGAGTCTTTATCGATACCACTATCGATACTTTTCTGTTATTTGTTGGTTAATATTTATTGATATCGATACCTTTATCGATACTACTTATCGTTCTGAGTCTTTATCGATACCACTATCGATACTTTTCTGTTTTTTGGTGGTTAATATTTATTGATATCGATACCTTTATCGATACTCCTTATCAATCCGAGTCTTTATCGATATCGATACCTTTATCGATACTCCTTATTGATCCGTTAATATTTATTGATATCGATACCTTTATCGATACTCCTTATCGATCCGAGTCTTTATCGATACCACTATCGATACTTTTCTGTTATTTGGTGGTTAATATTTATTGCTATCGATATCTTTATCGATACTCCTAATCGATCCGAGTCTTTATAGATACCACTATCAATACTTTTCTGTTATTTGGTGGAAAGATGATGCAACAATATTTAGCAAATAAATAATTGTATTTGAAATTAAATGTAATTTTTAATAAATATACAACTGTATTACTCATGTTTCTCGCCAAAAATTCAATTTCCCTTTTCTTTACGTTACAATTGAACGCATCCTGATAACCTAATTGTCGTTTTACTGAGCCAATCTGAAACTTCACGTCTGAAAGTTTATTTATTTACTTTTCAAGCTAACTAGCTTGAATGCTGCCGATTACAACACAGATTTCACAATTACTATTGTAATAATAAAAAAAACGACCAGACTCGATAGTGGTATCGATAAGCCCAAACGTTATTGATTTTCAATAACTGACGGCCCCCTGTCTGTCCCCGCAGGCCTGCCGGGAGGGCGAGCTGACCCAGAAGCTGCAGGAGGAGCAGTTCTGCCTGCTGCAGTGCGCCGTGGTGGAGGCCGAGGGCATCATACTTGATGCCGTGGCCAAACTGGACGACCCCATTCACCTCCGCTGCATCAGCTCTCCTGGTAGAAACGCTTTCATTCTCCTCCCTCGAATGTAACTTTGGCCAATAATTCAGCAACTGATAAACGACTCGGTGTCTGAATGTGTCTATTACATGTAGTCAGACTCATCAGAACCCATTTCACAAAACGTTACACTCAATTCAATGTATGAAAACACAACAATTCAATTTCAATTCAATTTTATTTATATAGCGCCACATCACAACAACAGTTGTCTCACAGCGCTTTCCAAACAGAGCAGGTCAGACCCTACTCTGAAGTTAACTACAGAAACCCAACAATTCCCACCATGAGCAAGCACTAGGCGACACAGGCAAGGAAAAACTTCCTTTTAACAGGCAGAAACCTTGAGCAGAACCATGGCTCAGGGTGGGCGGCCATCTGCCTCGGCCGGTTTGGGGTGAGGGGAAAGAGAGAGCAAGAGAGAGAGAGAGGGCGAGAGAAGGACAGAAGGAGCAGAGAGAGGCAGCCAACACAGCAACACGTAGAATAGATTAAAAAATGGCAATGATATTAATGCTAATGATGAGCAGGAACATGGGGGCAGCAGGAAACTCCCAACCACAGATCCAGACTCCACAGCTCTAGGAACACCTGCAGGAAGTGATAGGAGGAGACTCCCAACCACAGATCCAGACCCCACAGCTCCAGAGCCAGGAATATCTGCAGAAAGTGTTAGGAAGAGAGAGAAGAGAGAAGGGGGAACAGTCTCCACCTTTAGCTTTTGCTCTTGTGTGGATGCTTTGAGATTTTCTCATTAGAATAGAAAATAAAACTTCAGATCAGATCAATTCAGATCACTTTGGTTTATGAATTGCTTCTGAAGTGTCCATTAAAAGTTGATGAAGCCAGTAACAAATGGTGGAGGATGGAGGAGAATCTGCAGATAATTTTGTTCTCATGGGAAAGAACAAACAACTACAAGTGCTCTAAATAGAAAATAAAGCCTTCAGATATCCAGATATTTTAATTTAAAAGTTCCAACAGAATGCCATCATTAGCAATTATTTAACTAAAACTAAATGTGTTCATTCAGAAAAGAATCAAAGCTGCAAAAAGAGTCAGTTTATTAGCTTTTTTTGTTTGATTGTGACTGATCTATTGGTCAGATATCCACTGTGGTAAAAGAAAGAAAAACAACACTTCCTGTTCCTTAAACTTCTGCTCGTGGTGTTGCCGTCCCGTCTTTCAGATTATTTGGTGAACAGAGCGGAAACCACTCTGGTTTCCATCGACAAAATGCAGCAGAGCCACCTGGTCTACCTGGGAAACAGGAGCGGTGAGTTCAGGTTGTGTGTGTTTGTGCGTTCGCCTCCCGTCGGGAATCTCCTCTAAGGCCTCCTCCTCCTCTCCAGACGCCAGTGGCTTGCTGAGAGCCGTCACCCAGTTTTCCCACCTGGCCGCCGACACCATCATCAACGGGGCGGCGACCTCCCACTCGGCTCCCACCGACCAGGCCGAT